GTGGTTTCCTGGTGGTTTCCTGGTGGTTTCCTGGTGGTTTCCTGGTGGTTTCCTGGTGGTTTCCTGGTGGTTTCCTGGTGGTTTCCTGGTGGTTTCCTGGTGGTTTCCTGGTGGTTTCCTGGTGGTTTCCTGGTGGTTTCCTGGTGGTTTCCTGGTGGTTTCCTGGTGGTTTCCTGGTGGTTTCCTGGTGGTTTCCTGGTGGTTTCCTGGTGGTTTCCTGGTGGTTTCCTGGTGGTTTCCTGGTGGTTTCCTGGTGGTTTCCTGGTGGTTTCCTGGTGGTTTCCTGGTGGTTTCCTGGTGGTTTCCTGGTGGTTTCCTGGTGGTTTCCTGGTGGTTTCCTGGTGGTTTCCTGGTGGTTTCCTGGTGGTTTCCTGGTGGTTTCCTGGTGGTTTCCTGGTGGTTTCCTGGTGGTTTCCTGGTGGTTTCCTGGTGGTTTCCTGGTGGTTTCCTGGTGGTTTCCTGGTGGTTTCCTGGTGGTTTCCTGGTGGTTTCCTGGTGGTTTCCTGGTGGTTTCCTGGTGGTTTCCTGGTGGTTTCCTGGTGGTTTCCTGGTGGTTTCCTGGTGGTTTCCTGGTGGTTTCCTGGTGGTTTCCTGGTGGTTTCCTGGTGGTTTCCTGGTGGTTTCCTGGTGGTTTCCTGGTGGTTTCCTGGTGGTTTCCTGGTGGTTTCCTGGTGGTTTCCTGGTGGTTTCCTGGTGGTTTCCTGGTGGTTTCCTGGTGGTTTCCTGGTGGTTTCCTGGTGGTTTCCTGGTGGTTTCCTGGTGGTTTCCTGGTGGTTTCCTGGTGGTTTCCTGGTGGTTTCCTGGTGGTTTCCTGGTGGTTTCCTGGTGGTTTCCTGGTGGTTTCCTGGTGGTTTCCTGGTGGTTTCCTGGTGGTTTCCTGGTGGTTTCCTGGTGGTTTCCTGGTGGTTTCCTGGTGGTTTCCTGGTGGTTTCCTGGTGGTTTCCTGGTGGTTTCCTGGTGGTTTCCTGGTGGTTTCCTGGTGGTTTCCTGGTGGTTTCCTGGTGGTTTCCTGGTGGTTTCCTGGTGGTTTCCTGGTGGTTTCCTGGTGGTTTCCTGGTGGTTTCCTGGTGGTTTCCTGGTGGTTTCCTGGTGGTTTCCTGGTGGTTTCCTGGTGGTTTCCTGGTGGTTTCCTGGTGGTTTCCTGGTGGTTTCCTGGTGGTTTCCTGGTGGTTTCCTGGTGGTTTCCTGGTGGTTTCCTGGTGGTTTCCTGGTGGTTTCCTGGTGGTTTCCTGGTGGTTTCCTGGTGGTTTCCTGGTGGTTTCCTGGTGGTTTCCTGGTGGTTTCCTGGTGGTTTCCTGGTGGTTTCCTGGTGGTTTCCTGGTGGTTTCCTGGTGGTTTCCTGGTGGTTTCCTGGTGGTTTCCTGGTGGTTTCCTGGTGGTTTCCTGGTGGTTTCCTGGTGGTTTCCTGGTGGTTTCCTGGTGGTTTCCTGGTGGTTTCCTGGTGGTTTCCTGGTGGTTTCCTGGTGGTTTCCTGGTGGTTTCCTGGTGGTTTCCTGGTGGTTTCCTGGTGGTTTCCTGGTGGTTTCCTGGTGGTTTCCTGGTGGTTTCCTGGTGGTTTCCTGGGTTCATGGGTTTGGGGTTTGTTTGTTTTTGTGTCGGAGGTTTTGGGTTTTGGTGTTGGAGGTTTTGGGTTTGGGTGTTGGAGGTTTTGGGTTTGGGTGTTGGAGGTTGAGGTTTCCGAAGGGATGTGTTTGCCAAGTTTTATTGCTCTTAATATTGATGATTTTTGAGCAGGCTTTTACGAGCCTTAAAAGGTGCAAATCCAAAGCAGGGATCCAAATTGGGAGGAAAATACTCAAAGACAAACTTCTTGATATCCTCGTATCATAAATAAAAACATTTTCATTTTTGATTTTGAGTACTTACTATGATGAACTAACTTCTAGTTACTTACTTGTTTAAGCAGTCAGGTGGTTGGTAAGCTAAGTCGAACAATTTGACTCGGGAATCAGTGTAAAATATATCATCACCAGATCGCTAGACGGCTGGCGTCACAAGACGAAGAAAGATTTGGAAGCCATCATTTAAGGCTAGTTTTTTACTATCCCATGTGGAAGTTAACTATGCTCCTGAGTGGCGTCTCCCTTGATTTAGATGGGAACTAAGGGAAAAGAGAGCAACACACTCAACCACGGACAGCGAAAAACTACCTTTAAACCTTGGAAGGTGTGAAAGCCAGCACGATCAAAGAGGCCATAGAGAGTGGGAGTGCTTCCTCCGGCAGTCCGGATCAAAAAGGAGGACAAAGTGCCTCTCCCATCCAACCTTCAATTACTCTCTTTATGCCTTTACTCCATCTTTCCTAGTACGTTCGTTCTCGTCCTTGTTGACTTTCTGTCTGAATTTGGCTTTCCTCACAAAACTCTACGAGTACCTTTTCTACAACTTAGTAATTGCTGTGGTTTCTTTATTCTCGGGTTACCTACCATAGTATCGTGTCCCAAAGTTGCTTCCATTTATTCCTCGTCTGAGTTGTCACTGTAATAGTTGCCTCGACGTCCTCTGAGTAGTATTAAATAGTTTGGAGGATTATTTCAGACGCTTTACCTTTAGGGATTAATGTTTAGAGGTAGTAAAAATGGGAACTAGGAACGACGACGAGGCACTAGGCACTACTAGTTAGAAAAACTACTTTAATCTGCGGAACTTGTTTTGGCAAATGCTGACGCGCAGCGGGCTAGGATCTGGCGATGGTGTTGGTGTAACCGACATGCAAGAAAGTGCGGGGGTGGTGCGAACTGCCTTAATCAAGAAAGCTGATGCTATGGATTATGGCGGATTCTTCACAACGATGAATGGATTTGGATAGTTTTAGTCTTATCAGAAGATGGCATATTTCATCTCGGCTCCTGCTGCTGAGATTTCCTTTACTGGTTGTATCTGGGTTATGCAGGCCTTCCTCTCCTGTTGGATAGGTGTAATGATCAGTTTTGACTTTGAGTGAGTGAATCTGTTGCACGTAGTAAGTGTCAGATGTTCTATGTATCTGTTTCTTCACTCGTTGCTTACTCCGCTATGTTTAATCTAGACATGATCTTGGTGGTGTGGATTCATCTAACACCGAAAAAAACTCATCAACGAGAGTCCGGTCGAAAACTGCAACTTGATCATGGTGGACATGAAGAACGATGAAAATTGCTTTCAGATTCTATCTGGGCTACTCCAGGAATGCGTTTCGCGAGTCTCGATGGCTATTACGCGCCTTCTTGATATGTATTACTTTCAATTAGAAATATTTCAAGAGGTAGGTATCTAAATCTGCTTCGTGCTCTTCCTTGGCGTGATTCAAAACCAGAAACGCCGGTAGGATGTCGAGCTGCATATATATAATATAACTATACATAGAGAGACACATAGCGCGAGAATCGAGCACTTCTCTGAGGCCCGCACAGGCTTCGGCCGCCTTAGATGAGAAGACCTTCAGGGCAGACGGACGACGCGCGGCGCCTAGAATAGCAGGACCCTAATAAACATGGCCATTGCAGAAGACTTTAGATTTTAGGCTAAAAAATATACATTGTTGTTTTTATATATATATATACATGCTTCTTAATATCATTGTCTACTTTTACACCTTCTAGTTAGGTTGGCTCCACCATTGTTATAGAGGGACAGGTAATTTCGTAGGTGGGTCAGGATTTTGTCGCGATTCTCTCTAATTACTGTGGCCCCAGGATGTGGGCCTTCGACGAAAAAGAAGCAAAAAAAAATCTGCCGGTGATTCGAGTACTCTTACTCACCATCCTCGCCAACATCGATCAGACCCAGTTTGAGAAAATGGCAGGAGGGTTGTACTTGTAATATTATCAACTCTGTCTGGCTTTTGATCTTGAAATTTGTTGTATTTTCCGTGTCGTGGGCCATCAATGTTGCTGGAGGGTACGTAGTAAACCTCTATTGTAAAAAGTTTAAAAATTTCACTCAACTCTTGACATTAAACCTCTAATACATAGGAACTCCGGTTGTATTGGAGTATGGATAGTAAAGAAAATGAAAAACTAGTCACAATTTCAAAAGCCGATTTCTCCTTGTGTGAGCTCTTTGATGTCTTTGAATATCTGGCGACGTATTTGGCAGATTAATCACCTCCATCCGGTCACTTGTTTTCAAGATTTTCTTTCTAAATCAAAGAAAACGTAAGGGATACAGGATACGTAGTATAGCGCTAAATTTTCTTCATTCGACCTTTTCTACAGGGCGACGACCGGTTCTGCATGAGGAGGCTTTTTTGCGACTTTCGGTTGGAGTGGACGTGGATGGATGAGGTGTGACGGGAGACCAGAAGAAGGATTGGGAATGAGGTGTCATGGGAGACCAGAAGGAGGATGAGGTGTGACGGGAGACCAGAAGAAGGAGGGGGAATGAGGTGTCATGGGAGACCAGAAGGAGGATGAGGCGTGACGGGAGACCAGAAGAAGGAGGGGGAATGAGGTGTCATGGGAGACCAGAAGGAGGATGAGGTGTGACGGGAGACCAGAAGAAGGAGGGGGAATGAGGTGTCATGGGAGACCAGAAGGAGGATGAGGCGTGACGGGAGACCAGAAGGAGGATGAGGTGTGGCGGGGGGCTAGAAGTAGCGAGGGTACGTAGAGGATAAGATATGACGGAAAAACAGAAGGTTTTCCAATAGAGCATTGATTGGGCGAAGTCTAGGAAAATACATATGAGGAGATTGCTTGAAATGTTGAGTAGGTTTTCGTAGTTGTTTAGGTTTATCATTCTATCTATCTATCTATCTATTCAAGCTAGTCATCGTCCGACGAGGATTTCTGTTACTGTTTTCAAATTGATCGCACGTCGAACAATTTACGCCGATTATTAACTACAACAGCTAGAACTACAACAAGATAAATTATAGTGCTTTTAATTTCATATTCGTGACAAAACCGTTATCAGGTCGTTCATGTTTTCGCTTATCATATCAACAAGGGTTACAAGGTTGAGTCGGGAGGCTAAGCCTGCGTGTAGGGCAGCGAAAATAGTCGTATAATTTGTATTTCTATTTGAGTGCCATTGAGCGTCATAGATGAAGACGTAGCAGTAACTGTAACTTCTGGTGGTCTTGTAGCAATAGTACGCTCCTTGAACGTATTTTAGGAGATGTTGTGATAAAAAGTTCAGTCTCTTTGTGAATCTAGTACAGTGCGTCTGTACAACTTCAACTTGTAGATCTACTTATTAGTTCTACATACCACATATTGACTTTTGTGCCTTTAGTATCCGGAAGAAATTCAAATTGTTGAGCATGTGCATGTAGCTGCTTCGTTGTATCATGTCAACATATTGTCACGTGGATAGCGATGAGTTCAAAGTAACTCGATTCGTATCCAATTTAGGTTGGCGTCGAGTCTGTGTATCTTGTTGTCTGTAAAAGCTAAAGGACAGGAACTCTGCTCCTCCTTCTTAGAAGCTCTAGCACGACGCGACTTGTCCACATGGACACGCTGTATCCGATGAAATCTCTGAAGTGATGGGGAATAAATCTCGTAAGAAAGTGTATTGTTAAACAAAAAATTACAATTGCTATGACCCCGATTATGGGACATCGAGTCAGCATAAAAATCAATGTGTACAAAAAGAAGCCAGGAGAGGATGACTATCAACAACAGAACTGGAGCTGCTACCAAGTTCCTCTTCGTGCTAATTAACACCTTCCCTTTTTGATGCGATAAAGGTAAAACAGAATCAAGATCATCAAATTTCGAACTTGTACATCCAACAGGATGATACTTTTGCTTGCTATGCGAAACCGTATCTGCTAACTTAAGTTGACTTTTCACCTCGCTTTTCTTCAATCACACTTACACCTACCCGCACCTTTCACCACGACAACTACAATGAATGACGTAAAGCGAACTTGTTTTCTGAGACCGACGCATACTACACTATGACTATGACTCTCCCTCATTCTTACTCTCTGCCACTTCTCCTGGCAGAAGATTGGTTCCAACAAGCTGAGTCGAATAATAGACCACTTTTGACCCATGACTACAAGATGTGAAAATTATCGATCAACCACGCTTCGCCTTCCTTGTTTTTCCAGCATTAGAATGCACGGATGCCAAACAGTAGGATTCTTGTTGCAGCGAACAGTGAGTAGCATTTTTATACGAAGCACGACAGACATTCTCCGCTAGAATATACTATAGTGGGGAGCACATGAAGACGGATACTGGACAGCGTTTTTTTTATGGATAGTGAAAAACGACCTGACAAGAAGACTAGCTTCTACTCGAGTACTTGTTTCCTTACCAGTTGAAGTCCCATTCTCCTGCTGTATCGTCAAAAAAGTCCTTGTACAGCGACCAACTTAATACAAGCGCCACGACCTGCAAAGGAACACAGGAGAGCGACGCTTTCATCTGCAAGCATCTGCTGGCGCGGCGCCTTGTATAATACTACGGACCGTTTTTCATTATTACGCCCGCAGATATTCTTGCATCCTGCCACTTCTGAGACCACGCGACATAATTTTTTAGAAACAAACCAGCGAGGCCCAGCTCGGTCACCAAGATCAAGCTGTTGCGTTTCGCCTTGGCGAATTTTTTTAGAAACAAACCACCGAGACCCAGCTGGGTCACCGAGATCAAGCTGCTGCGTTTCGCCTAGATTTTTTAACTTGGCTCAATTATGATGGTGGAAGAGACGCCGGGATGAATTTTTTGAGAAACAAACCACCGAGACCCAGTTCGGTCATCAAGATCAAGCTGTTGCGTTTCGCCTAGATTTTTTAACTTAGCGCAATCCTTATGGTCGATCTACTTCCTTCAGTTGTAGCGTAATCGCGAAAGTGTAGACCTCTCGTCATAATTGTTAGAGATATATGCCAGGCCACGAATTATACCATTATTGGGGAAGCCTTTACCTTTTTCTGATCGTAGCATCTATAACGCCCTATGTCGCGCGCTTCGTCACCGCCGCGACACAACGGTGAACCGAGCAGGGAGCGCCGCGTGGGACTTTTGGGGGACTGGAAAGGTTTGGAGAGGACAGGGAGTCTGTAGTTGTAGTTAGGCAGAGATGAAGAAACGTAGAGAAAAAGGGAGAGGTCCTCGCTTATGCTTATGCTATCTGCGCTTTCGGTAGCTTGCGCCCGCGGCCGCAGCGTGATATCGCTTGCGCATCTCTAGCTGGGCCGACGGGAACATCGGGAGGCTGGCGGGGTGCGAGGGTCGGCGGACCCGCGGGGGCTCGAGAGTTGTCGGGCGGTCCAATGCTGCCCGTCCTCTCGCCTTGTCGTGAGCAGGTAAGCCCGGAAGTGAACCAGCGGCGCGCAAGATGCGTTCGTGGAGAGCAGCGGGAAGGGAGGCGTTCTGCGGCGGAAGAGATAGAGATAGAGTAGATAAAAAGTAGTGTGTAGTAACACACATTCTTCCCATTATACCCATTACAACCACCGGATCTTCAGGGAGGTCCCCTGAGCCCTTGCATCAACGTCCTTAGTGACAGACGGCAAGGGCGCTCGCGAGCGCGTCATGCGTGAGACGGTAGGGTCGCGCGCGAACATAATCATAATAGACTACAATTGACAAAAGATGTGACCACAATCGACAGAACATATGCTTCGCAATAAAAAGCAACCAGCGACGTTCTTGCGTGGTCTAAAACTAGTTGTGCCTACTTGGATAAAAATCAATTGATTTTGGATCTGTTCTCCTCACGCCTAGTATCGGTCTAATATATAAATAAGCAACCCCTTAAAGGTTGCTAGATCGATGGATAGGTCGATGGAAAATATAAGTTAGTATATTAAGAATATTCATGATATTCTCTGCCCCAGACGAGGACGAGGCACACAGATGTCGGAGGAGGTGTGAGAGAAGGATCTAGACTCGTGGTTCCAGTACTTCAACTATGAGTTGTTGGAGGCTTCATGATTGTTCCTGTATGATGAATAATCTTCCTTGAACGATTCATATCTCAGTCGACCTCTATCAAAAGTGAAATACTTTAATATCGAGTGATGACCGTTTTCGTTAAAGAGGTGTAGAATCTTCGGATTTCTTCTTTCGTCCTAAAATTAAACCACGGCGAATCACCGTGTGCCGTGACAATCATGAAGAGCATCAAAATGAAGGATCGATGCAAGTCTGCCGTCCTTGTGACGTCGAGAAGCGGCCCGGCGTTGCCGCCTCACTCACGTGCACGTAATAACCAGCCCTGAAGGTAGTAAGTTGCGCTGTAAGAATTAGTGACCACGATCATTCATTTTCGATCCCGCTGCACGACACGAGCTGCAGCGCTATAAATGTCCGCCTCCAATTCCAAACAACACCTGTGACGCTTCTTCTTCGATCCGGCAGCGCTTCTAATGGGCGCCGCCACTTACGTCTCTGAAGATGAAGGTCTGTATCGCGACCGCCTTTGACGAAAGTCTGCATCGCGATCGCCTTTGAAGAAGGTCTGTATCGCGACCGCCTTTGACGAAAGTCTGCATCGCGATCGCCTTTGAAGAAGGTCTGCATCACGCGCGCCTCTGAAGAAGGTCTGCATCACGCGCGCCTCTGAAGAAGGTCTGCATCGCGACCGCCTTTGAATTCGCTCCTCTGTATCGCGCTCGTTTGTTGTAGCGGACTCCCGCACGACCGACGTTTGTTGTAGCGGACTCCAGCACGACCTTTTGTTGTACCGGAGACTCCATCACTTCATCACTGCCAAGAGTCAATTGATGACGAATTGACCACGAATTGATACATAATCTTCCAGTTGCGGTATGTTCTGAATCTGAGTTAGAATCAATCATGGCTGGCGATGCTCGGTTTTTCGGCAGCAGTGGCAAGCGGGGTGACCTGCAAGAGCTGCGAGAAGATTAAGCCTTGTCGTGGAACTATTTTATCTTATCAGTAGTTATTAATTTTGATCTTCAGATATAGAAGATCATTTTAGGAAATTTTTCTAAGAAGAGCTGCACTCAACGAAATAGATAGAAGATTTTAGGAAATTCTAAGAAGAGCTGCACTCAACGAAATTGGACAAGAAACGAGATGCCGTACGAAAGGTCATAGCGAACATGACACTGGGCAAAGACGTCTCTTCGCTCTTCGCCGACGTGCTTAATTGCATGCAGACTCAATCGCTCGACCTCAAAAAGTTGGTCTACCTTTACTTAAGGCTATAATTGCGTATGGCTATGGTGTTAGAGCAATTGATACACTATTCTTGCTTTGTTTACTCATTGCCACAGCGATTAGAAAGTAGTACTCAAAGACTGTTTTTATGTGCATGTAGTTGTAGATGTACTTAATCGATCATGTTCGTTCTTGTATTGGCATTTTTAACGTGAACGTCATCAGCAGTCGTGAATTCACCAGGATTTGCGAGTTGGATAAGTTGCTACTGACAGACTCGGATCAATACGATAGAGCCCACGCAACTTCTCTTATCAAAAGAAGCCATACGTCGGCCCACGCCACTTCTCTTATCAAAAGAATCCATACGTCGGCCCACGCCACTTCTCTTATCAAAAGAATCCATACGTCGGCCCACGCCACTTCTCTTATCAAAAGAATCCATACGTCGGCCCACGCCACTTCTCTTATCAAAAGAATCCATACGTCGGCCCACGCCACTTCTCTTATCAAAAGAATCCATACGTCGGCCCACGCCACTTCTCTTATCAAAAGAATCCATACGTCGGCCCACGCCACTTCTCTTATCAAAAGAATCCATACGTCGGCCCACGCCACTTCTCTTATCAAAAGAATCCATACGTCGGCCCACGCCACTTCTCTTATCAAAAGAATCCATACGTCGGCCCACGCCACTTCTCTTATCAAAAGAATCCATACGTCGGCCCACGCCACTTCTCTTATCAAAAGAATCCATACGTCGGCCCACGCCACTTCTCTTATCAAAAGAATCCATACGTCGGCCCACGCCACTTCTCTTATCAAAAGAATCCATACGTCGGCCCACGCCACTTCTCTTATCAAAAGAATCCATACGTCGGCCCACGCCACTTCTCTTATCAAAAGAATCCATACGTCGGCCCACGCCACTTCTCTTATCAAAAGAATCCATACGTCGGCCCACGCCACTTCTCTTATCAAAAGAATCCATACGTCGGCCCACGCCACTTCTCTTATCAAAAGAATCCATACGTCGGCCCACGCCACTTCTCTTATCAAAAGAATCCATACGTCGGCCCACGCCACTTCTCTTATCAAAAGAATCCATACGTCGGCCCACGCCACTTCTCTTATCAAAAGAATCCATACGTCGGCCCACGCCACTTCTCTTATCAAAAGAATCCATACGTCGGCCCACGCCACTTCTCTTATCAAAAGAATCCATACGTCGGCCCACGCCACTTCTCTTATCAAAAGAATCCATACGTCGGCCCACGCCACTTCTCTTATCAAAAGAATCCATACGTCGGCCCACGCCACTTCTCTTATCAAAAGAATCCATACGTCGGCCCACGCCACTTCTCTTATCAAAAGAATCCATACGTCGGCCCACGCCACTTCTCTTATCAAAAGAATCCATACGTCGGCCCACGCCACTTCTCTTATCAAAAGAATCCATACGTCGGCCCACGCCACTTCTCTTATCAAAAGAATCCATACGTCGGCCCACGCCACTTCTCTTATCAAAAGAATCCATACGTCGGCCCACGCCACTTCTCTTATCAAAAGAATCCATACGTCGGCCCACGCCACTTCTCTTATCAAAAGAATCCATACGTCGGCCCACGCCACTTCTCTTATCAAAAGAATCCATACGTCGGCCCACGCCACTTCTCTTATCAAAAGAATCCATACGTCGGCCCACGCCACTTCTCTTATCAAAAGAATCCATACGTCGGCCCACGCCACTTCTCTTATCAAAAGAATCCATACGTCGGCCCACGCCACTTCTCTTATCAAAAGAATCCATACGTCGGCCCACGCCACTTCTCTTATCAAAAGAATCCATACGTCGGCCCACGCCACTTCTCTTATCAAAAGAATCCATACGTCGGCCCACGCCACTTCTCTTATCAAAAGAATCCATACGTCGGCCCACGCCACTTCTCTTATCAAAAGAATCCATACGTCGGCCCACGCCACTTCTCTTATCAAAAGAATCCATACGTCGGCCCACGCCACTTCTCTTATCAAAAGAATCCATACGTCGGCCCACGCCACTTCTCTTATCAAAAGAATCCATACGTCGGCCCACGCCACTTCTCTTATCAAAAGAATCCATACGTCGGCCCACGCCACTTCTCTTATCAAAAGAATCCATACGTCGGCCCACGCCACTTCTCTTATCAAAAGAATCCATACGTCGGCCCACGCCACTTCTCTTATCAAAAGAATCCATACGTCGGCCCACGCCACTTCTCTTATCAAAAGAATCCATACGTCGGCCCACGCCACTTCTCTTATCAAAAGAATCCATACGTCGGCCCACGCCACTTCTCTTATCAAAAGAATCCATACGTCGGCCCACGCCACTTCTCTTATCAAAAGAATCCATACGTCGGCCCACGCCACTTCTCTTATCAAAAGAATCCATACGTCGGCCCACGCCACTTCTCTTATCAAAAGAATCCATACGTCGGCCCACGCCACTTCTCTTATCAAAAGAATCCATACGTCGGCCCACGCCACTTCTCTTATCAAAAGAATCCATACGTCGGCCCACGCCACTTCTCTTATCAAAAGAATCCATACGTCGGCCCACGCCACTTCTCTTATCAAAAGAATCCATACGTCGGCCCACGCCACTTCTCTTATCAAAAGAATCCATACGTCGGCCCACGCCACTTCTCTTATCAAAAGAATCCATACGTCGGCCCACGCCACTTCTCTTATCAAAAGAATCCATACGTCGGCCCACGCCACTTCTCTTATCAAAAGAATCCATACGTCGGCCCACGCCACTTCTCTTATCAAAAGAATCCATACGTCGGCCCACGCCACTTCTCTTATCAAAAGAATCCATACGTCGGCCCACGCCACTTCTCTTATCAAAAGAATCCATACGTCGGCCCACGCCACTTCTCTTATCAAAAGAATCCATACGTCGGCCCACGCCACTTCTCTTATCAAAAGAATCCATACGTCGGCCCACGCCACTTCTCTTATCAAAAGAATCCATACGTCGGCCCACGCCACTTCTCTTATCAAAAGAATCCATACGTCGGCCCACGCCACTTCTCTTATCAAAAGAATCCATACGTCGGCCCACGCCACTTCTCTTATCAAAAGAATCCATACGTCGGCCCACGCCACTTCTCTTATCAAAAGAATCCATACGTCGGCCCACGCCACTTCTCTTATCAAAAGAATCCATACGTCGGCCCACGCCACTTCTCTTATCAAAAGAAGCCATACGTCGCATACTCACTGTCCACCTCCTTTTCTAACTCCTGCTGTGGCTTCATCATATTGGCGTCCTTGTGAATATACTTGTACAACTGGGCAGCATCTAGATCCTGAAGATCCTGGACCTTTCATGCGAGTTGATCAGATGAACGTTCTCGAACCCTTACTCCCCCCTAGTTTCCCCCCTTTACTACAACAACAAAACGCTTCGAAGTATTATTGTTTCGATTACTCGGTTATTTTAGTTTTTCGAGTACTCACTGTCCACCTCCTTTTCTAACTCCTGTCGTAAACTATAGCGCGACACAACCGGAGCTGGCGATTTTAGCCGTCAACACGTTCCGGAAGGACAGCGTAGATCCAAATCCTTTGATACGTTAAGGCTTCCCCTAATTCATCTTGTTGAACTTGAACAGCATCGATCTTGGTCGATACGTTTTGTTCAAGGAGGGTGCTCTTAGTCAAATCAATTTTGAATTCGCGAGGATCATCAAGATTCTTGAACAAATCCCAGATTGAACAGGTCTCAGGATATTATTCGCTTTTTTGTGAGCCCCACTAAATACGAGCTTTGGCAGTCCGCACGATGGGGTGCATTCGCTTGGACGCAGTGACAGAGTACATCCTGGAGCCTTTGCGCCGATCCTGCCAGGACAGCGATCCGTATGTGCGGAAGACGGCTGTCATGTGCATAGCCAAGTTAAGGGTGAAAAAGAAGAGGAAGAGGTGCAAATAAAGAAACAAGGCTGAAGAAGTGATCCAACGCCAAGATCGAAGGCTGAAGAAAACACAGCAGCAATTTCATTTAATGAAGATGAACTACATATTCAATAATCCCCGTCTAAAGAAACTGTACGACATTCAGCCGGAGCTAGTGGAAGAGCATGGCTTTTCAGAAATCTTGAAGGACTTGCTCACTGACAGCAACCCGGCAGTCGTGGCGAATTGTATGGATGTTGTTTTTTTGCAGCTATCAAACCATCGAGGCTCCCTTTTTTTTAGGTGAAGATCATACGTTTTTGAAGAGAGATCATGGGGAGCCAAGAAGATGGTCTGGCTAGATGGAAACAACAACATTTATAAACTGCGTCGCAACGTTGTCGGAAATGAGCAAGAGAAATCCCGCGTTCCTCCAGTTGACTGACCAGAGCATCCAGAACCTGTTGAACGCCCTTAACGAGTGCAGCGAGTGGGCACAGGCATTGATACTGGACTCCATATTTATGCTCCTGCGCTCCTGTGGATGATCATGATGAGAGGAGTTATTTAGTTCTAGTACAACAACTGCAACTTCTTCTGGAGTTAAATTTTACTAAGTATGATTTTGTTGCAGATCTATCTGATACCATGTCTCTCAGCTTCAGTCGTAAGTACTAGTTGCTCTAATCTATCACACAGTTATCATCCCCCTACACCACGAGCAGCAGAGGCGATCTTAGAGCGGGTCTCTCCACGGCTCTCCCATGCGAACCAAGCTGTTGCACTTAGCACAGTGCGATTGTTTCTGCGATTCAGTGATCTACTATTATGGTCAGCTGCTAGTTCTAACAGAAATTGGAGTGATGAGCACTTTAACTTTTTTATGTTCGTACTGTTACTACAAGAATTATTTTTAAGTACGAGGAAGATGAGGAATTTATTAGGAATACTCTTGTTACTTTTGATGCTCATTTTGATTTTATCACATGAGCTACTTACACTCTAATCCTCGGGCAACAGGAGTCGTCGCGTTTGATGCGAAAAGTCGGTCCTCCTTTGGTGACTTTACTCCATGCCGAATCGGAGATACAATTTGTTGTACTCCGAAGTCTCAACTTGATTCTCCGAAAAAAAGGGCTTGCCGCAGTCCTCAACATGGACGTGAAGATCTTCTTCTGCAAGTACAACGACCCTGTTTTTGTCAAGCTGGAAAAGCTTGAGCTCCTGGCTCTACTGGTTGGCGAAGGGAATTTGGAAGTATGGCTCGTCATCTTAAAAATGTCTGAGTCTCCAACGTGGAAAAAAAAATGCAACATTCATCATGATCATCTTCAAACTACGAGTCATCTCCTGATAGGGCATCTAGCTTCATCAAAGTCAACATTTTACAGAAAAAACTGCTTCTACTCAGATGCTTCGTGACAAAACCACGCGTCCTTCCAGGAGATGACTTCTATTTGCGCATTTATCGGTAAACCCTACACTTTTTCTTCTAATATCAGTGGTGCTCTCCGAAATGCGAGATTATGCGAACGAAATCGACGTCGAATTTGTCCGAAAAACAATACGGACCATAGGTCGCATTGCCATCAAATTCCCTCAAGCGGCTGAACCTTGCATCAACCTCTTACTAGAATTGATGAAAACATCGAACGTACTTCTTATTTTGAAGTTTTGAAGACTCTTACAACTAGTTGTTTGAGCATTTGAAGACTAGTTCTTGTTCTTGTGTTTGAATTCCTACTGTTGTATTGCCAAGATGCTGAAGATAATTTTGTATCTAGGAAGCTGTGTTTTCTGCGTCCTTATGTAAGAACTTCTCTTGCTCGTGGAGTCGCTCCTTTCTTTGTCCGTATATTCTTCTTTTAAGTAGCTGTCGTCCTCCGTATACCTAGTACACTTCTTGTTCTTAGAATGTTTGATTTTACTTCAGGGAGAATACGTAACGCAAGAAAGCTTCGTGGTTGTGGCGAATATTTTTCGCCGTTACCCCGGAGAATACGAGGCTGTGATTCAAACCTTATGTTAAGGCTGGAGGTTCTTATAAAGCTCATCCATGTAGTATTGTTCTTATTTTTTAGGACTAGTATCTTCTAGTTCTCAGTCTCACTTCTAGTTCTGAGTCGTCTTCTTCTATAGCCACCCCATACCCGTTACCGAATACGGTACCAACACATGGAAATAGAAAAACTTCTACTTCTTTTTACTTATGTTGATCGATGAAAAACTACGAAAACGACCTACCTCTAACGATATGAGAATTTGGAGAGCATCGATGAACCCGAAGGAAAAGCAGCGATCATATGGGTCCTCGGTGAATACAGTGAACGCATCGACAACGCGGCAGAGATATTGGAGCATTTTTTTATGAATTTAGTGGTTTTGCGGTACCTACTCCTACTCGTACCTACTTTTGATCTACATTCTACAACTTGTACCTCAATCATTTGTTGCATGATCCATAATGTTAATGATCTTGAGGAATCGTCTGAGATTGTTTACTTCTTGTTTGTCAAGAAGATGTCAGTTTGATTTCATCTGAATCTGATCCTGATCCTATGCCTGACCTTTGTGATCTTTTAGTTTTTCAAATCTCCTCTTCAACTTCCACTAAAGTTGAAATTAGTCTTCCACATGAGGCGGTATTACTAGTCACTCTGGTGTTCTTTGTTTTGAGTTGCAGTTTACAGCGTTACCTCAAGTAGTGCATACTGTTATTTCCTAACAGCTGCATCATGATCATAGAAAGAGTTTTCCTTGTCTTCTAATTTCTTGACCCATTTCCATGACGAGCCAGCACAAGTGAGGTGCGTTCTGTTGACTGGAGTGGTAAAGCTCTTCCTCAAGAGTCCTGGAACGGCAACTCAGCAGATGGTAACGAGGACTCTCAAGTTATGCACCGAAGAAACCGACGATCCTGATTTGAGGGATAGAGGGTACTAATGCAACTTTTGACAACAACAAGGACAATTCTTTTTTGAAATAGTACTACTGATGATACACATACATTTGTTGTAGCTAGATGTAGATTTTTTGATCTGGCATATCTACTTCCAGGTACATGTATTGGCGGCTTTTGTCAAGCGACCCAAAGGTGACTAAAGAGGTTGTTCTCGGCACAAAACCGAAAATCAGCGACGATAGTGTTAAGGCTAATAATCTATTCCAAAGGTTGTGCCTATCGTACCTCATGACTTTATAAAAAGAATGTCGTGGGAAAACACTCCAAAGTCTATTTTGATGCCTTTACTTTCGTGCAAGAAAATTAATAAAAATAAGTTGTACTTCTACTTCGTTCTTGATCTTGTTCGAAGCGCTCATGACTTCTTGTTCTACGCTCATGTACTTCTGGCCAATTACGTGGTATAGAATCTCTTCTACTGCTGCTGCAGAAAGAGCTACAAGAAAAAGGACCATCCCGATCCTCTAAGAAGCGGCGCCTCCCTCCAAAAATGCTGGAAACGCTCATTCATGGCGTTGGGACGCTTTCCTCAGTCTACCGCCAGCTCCCGGATACATTTTTGGCGAAAAGGTATAAAATGAAAAGGTATAAAATAATCAAAAAAAGTTTCTTACTGTTTTTCACAATATGAATCGCAAACTCAATCGAAGTATGCGATAATTATGATAGATCAACAGGTCTGGCAGCGTAGAACGTGCGACGGTTGACGAAGACTCCGAAGATGAGGATGCGCCTGAACGCTTGAGACAGTTACAGGAGGAAATGAAGAACGGACCAGCGACTAAGCGACCATATGTTGAGGTATGTGAAAACGGTAATGGTTGTATATTGAAGGATGAACTGCATGTTTGTTCTCGATTATAGTGACTTTTTGAACAAGATGATTGCGGTAAATCAGCTGGCGCATATTATATTGAGAAGTAGTTGAAGATGCTCATCTAAACTGAGAGGAGACAAGCGAAGACTCGGATGAGGAGGGTTCCTCATCTTCCAGCTCGGAGGAAGAGAAGGTCAGCGAAGAAGGTTCGGATAGAGCTGCAGCATCGCCAAGTAAACTTACGATGAGTAGCAAAAGTAGAGCAAGAACCCTTGTACAACTTAGAGAAGTTCTAGTACTCTTCGTTCTGACTTCTGCTGTAATCTCGTTTCTTTTCGATTTCGCTATTCGCTTTTTATGACACTTCCACTTGTATGCTTTTTCCCGTCGTTCGTGTGATATGAATTGTCGTATTTGTAAATAAACAGTCTCACTCCAACAAGGACATCAACGTCTACTCTTCTCCTCTTCATTTCGTATCATGAACGTCTACTCTTCTCCTCTTCATTTCGTATATGACATTCTTCCTTTTCATGAGTAGGATGAATCGTCTAATCACAGAGCAGAGCAAGAGCCTGAGCCGGCTTACGCGTTGGTGCTTCCCGAGACGCGACCTGGGAAGCAAGGAACTGTAGGGCTCAAAGCCGCAGCAGCTCTTGTTAAGGCGAACAAGGAAACATGCGCGGAGGTTGCTCAAGAGTACATATCACTGATATCTATAGTTGATTTCTTTGTGTATGTGTCTCTCGTCTACTTGTTCTCATCAAGAAGGAAAGTGCTTTCGGAAAACAGGAGCAAGAAGGAAAGTTCTTCCGGAAAACAGGAGAGATCTAATTTTTTTCGCCACACTCGCGATGGAGGTGGGGGCCAATTGCTGTTGTATCTCGCGGTTCAGAACCGCGCGTCTCAGCCGCAGCGACAGTTCGCATTGCAGCTTAATAAGAATGTTTTCGGCATAACTCTGAGCAAAGAGCAAAGTGCGATGGTAGGAACGAGCATTGGTACGTTAGGCGCGGGAGAGAGCAGAACTGTAGTGCTGCCGCTTTCCGTAGTGCCGTTGGCAGCGGGAAGTCTTATGCCGTGGTTCTTAATGTCGAGAAGGTGTACAACAGTGACTGAGAATATGATAAGATGTCCAGTCGTGACCTTCTGTGTTGAACAAGGAAGTGCTGTAAGTAACTGTAACTAGCTCCCCTTACTAACTCCCTTACATGTATCGTTTTCAAGCACTCAGTTCTTCGCCTAAAAAGTAAGCTTATTTTTGCATCGTCATCTGAACAAGTCGCCAGTTGCTGTCACCTCTAAGTTTTCTCCAGGAGCCGCTGGAGAGCAGGCTCAACTCTACCTCGAGGCTGCGATGAAGATTATGGATGGACGGATGATTAATAATACATAATACCACTTCTTCTTAGACATAGTAGCACTTTTTCTTAGATTTCATCTCATGCTCCTGGCTACTTTTCCTTCCCTGGCTGTGCTTTCCCCCTGAATTTCGTATCCACTGAGCAAAGATCTGTGGGTAGTAGTACAATTCGCTTGCTCTGGGACCACAACCTACTTCTTCTACAACTCGCACTCATGTCTTGCTGCTACCACCAATTATTACCTCCACACCTCTAGTACTTGCTCTTGCAGCACTTGACTTCTTCGTCTGCTCCTGCACTACTTGCTAACCTCCCCAGTTTTCAACCGATCCTCTCCTGCCACTAGTTACCTCTACCTATTTAGTTGCCTCCGCTTCTTCTCTTACGGCAGCTACTAATTAACAACGACAACTACCTGCTCTAGCGCTACCACCTGAACGTCTCCCCCTTCATCCTCATCCTTCCTCCAACAGGCCGTTCACCACCACGTTCACCACTACTCACTCTCTTCTAACCTAAGCTCAGCAGATTTATGGTACTTCAAGATACCACTGGATTTCGCTACGTTGCTTGTCCCAGGAATGGCCCTAGCGCAAACACAGTGGGATAGCTCGTGGAGTAAACTCGGAGCCTCGAAAGAAGTAACGTCGGTTATTTTATGTCGAGAGTGGATTTGAAATTGAATATCATGAGGGTTAGAAGTACAACTCAGAACAACAAGTAGTAATAGTTTAATCGATTGATCATGAGAATGATTCGTATTAGATTCGTGGCGTTGCTGGTGATTATGGGCGTGGAATGAATTGACACACGAATTCAACGCCAAGAAACGAAGCATGACCCTTCTAAGTAACTCTTTCCTCATCTACTCTCCTTCCTCCCTCTACTCCTGCTCTAAACCACTTAGAGGTGCAGCCTGGGACTGCCTCTCCAACGTTTCTGCCTAGCATGCTTCGCCGACTACGCGAGACCAACATGATTTTCGTGAGTCACCACCTTCGCGGTGGTGCTGCTTCAGGTGGCAGTAGCAGTCCTAGCTCCCCACCCACAGCCGCCCACTCTTTTCATTAAGGCTAGTCCATCACTCACCCGCGTGGACTGTGGTTCTTAGTGGGGTCTCCCTGCTGGATATGATTTCAAGAAGAATCAAATCTAAGTGGGAAAATGGGCAACTCACTCAACCAATACCAAGGATAGCGCAAAACTAACTCTAATCTCAGCTAGGCGGTTGTACTGTCAATCGAATAGCTCTATTTGTAGAATTACACGTTCGCGGAGTGGGTGCCCAACTGAAGATCCGGACGGAGCACCAAGTTTTTGTACCCCTAGTGCAGAAACTGATTGAAAAAGCTCTGACTAGTGGCGATGGATGAGGTGGTGGTGGAATGTGATGAACTTGCTGGGATGTCTACGCTTTGCTTCTTCTTGATGAGTTGCATCACGCTGAAGAAGATTGCAGATTGTGCGGTGGTTAACCCTCAGACTAGAAGACTGACGACGATTATCATTATGCTACCTGACTGCTATTAAGCGGTGGTAAAAAATGATAGATAACAACAAGTGATAGAAGATACAACAAATTGATAAAAGCCGATTTTGAAAATCCTAAAAAACGTTTATTCTGCTATGTTGTATTTCGGAAAAACCTCCGAGCCGACAACTCGAAATTAACTACATGATCATGATGATCGGACACGAAGGCTACATCTCCTGGTAACTAAGGTCGATAGGTTTTCATCTACATCAATAGGATCACGATCAGTGTACAGCTACAGATCCTTAATATGCTCGACTAACTTCTTATGCCTGTACATGCTTGCTATTCTAACTCCTTATTTTTGTCACCTGCATGGCCATGGTCTTCTGGTTTGAACTCTACATGATGAATAATAGATTCTTCATACTTCACTTTCGCGAAGACTCTGTAATACTAACACGAAGATACGGATCAGCATCTTGTAGAGAAAAATAAAGAGAGATTCCAGGATAGAAATAAAAGAAAACTTTGCCACAGCCATATTGCGTTGCTTTCTGGAAAGGCTCCGGCTACCAGCACCGACGGGAATTTTTAATGCAAGGCTGTCTGGCACTGGCACATCAGCAATCTCAGCCTTTTTGTGGATTTGGGCAGATGGTCCGATATCCTGCCAGGAGAGAACAAGAGCACGTAGAGAGAAGATGAGAGTTCTACTTACTTCGACAAGTAGTAGTTAAGAATCACTACAACTTCTGCACTAGAGAAAAACATCATCAACCGATGTAGCTTTTGGAGAAGCTACTAGATGATGGAAGCGTAACCACCTCGTGCAAGCGTCAGCGCGGCTTTGCTTGGGCGTGGTACTATGACGCTGGATAAATACAGTCCTCTGTAGCTCCAGCTCGTGAGTTCCTCGTCAGTGTATACTGACGGACTGTTGCGCTGCGGCAACATCTTGTCCCCCCAAAATGTTGAAAGTTCTCACTTGGTCCAGGGTGTCCTGTTTCCCGGATTTGAAGACGCATCTAGATTGCTGTCGTCAGTATCCGCCGAAGAAAGAGGGAGCTACACTGGTATCATCGACTGCGACATCTTCTTCTAAAGATGAACAACAACATCAACATCATGATGAACATGAACCACAGGACCTCCACGGTCATAAACCTCTTCCACAGTTGAACCCACTTGTAATCCCTCATGGTCTGGGCGCATGTTTCATGCCTGGCGTCGAGAATCCTTCCTTGTTGGATTTGCGCAAATCCTGGCTGCACATGGCCAAGGACATCCAACCGACTTATCTTACGGCTTCTCCTAATCCAATCCATGATCTTCTTTCGCTTTCCAAGGGAGAAAGGAAGTTCTTTTCAAGAAGGGAAAGAGGGCTCCAGGATGGCGGACGTTGTGATGGATTCGTGGAAGCTCTAACTATCACATGTGCTGTGACCGAACGGCGGCTATGAGTGAAGACGAGGTGCGGGAGCTTTATAACATTTTGGTTCATGATGACGGCGATGCGGATGGGGATCAACATGGGGTCGGAAGGGATAAGAAAGGCATGGAAGACCTAGAGTTTGTAGACGACACGACTGGCCACGGTGCTGTCAAGGGGACGAAGATGAAGAGCCACAAAGAACAAGATGAAGTAGATGAAGATAGTACATCAAAACATCATCAAAGAATATTTGGTCGTCTGTTTGAATCTAGCAAACTCGCTGGTATTCCAGATGACAGTACTCAAGAGGCTTGGTTGGCAGCCGAATATGACCCAGAGACAGCACGTCAGCTCCTAGTCTTCTCCGACCACACAAGAGTCATATATCAGAAGCAAACCGCAGCTCTCTGGCACTTCAAGGCCTTGCTAGACTATGGAGACCGGTCAACTAGGCTTGCAGAGGTTTTGCCGTACCTGAAATCTCGCGGTTTTAGGCGGTTAGACCTGTTTGATTGGTTTTTTAGGGGAATATCGATTCACGAGAGCAGTTTTGCTGCTTCGCGATTCATGTCGCAAGAGGTTGATGGGTCAAACGCGGATGCAACTACGAGTGACGATGTATTACTTTTTGGAAGTAACAAGGATCAACATGTGGTGGAAGATGCACCAGCCGGAAGGGCAACGACGACCACAAACAGGTCAAGGAGGACGTCTGAAGATCCACAATTTCAACCCAAACCTTCTTTCATAAACTACTTCACTGCCAACAATAGAGAAGAGGACGTCGATCATGATCAACACGATGACAATGACGATGTTCAAGATCTTCTCGATCTGAAGCTTCCTTTCCTTGTGAATCTGGCAAAGACGCTTGAAATCAACTCCATCCCTGAGCGTCAATGTCTGATGGAAGACCTGGACACACTACAGTTATGGGTTTCCACATCATGACATTCTTCAATACCTTCAAGAAGAATACCTTCTGGACTTGTTGTTTCCCAATAGCATCAACAGAAGAGATTCAGGGAAGTCGTAGATCCAGTCCGATTCGACGAGCATCATCATCATCATCATCATCAGCAAAGATGTCCAGGAAGATGTTCTGAATATTATAGCGCAACCACTAATACAGGGCCCTCTTCGTCGCGCTACTGATCGTGACATTGATGCCACTGGCAACGTCATCACGCCTTTTGATCCCGCCATTGAGCGGCTCCTTATGCAGAATGAGAAGATCGTTTATGACTGCGACGAGCGAACAGGCGTTTGCTCGAGGAAGAACAACTCGGCAACCTCTAAAGGTAGTGGAACAAGAGCAGAAGGCAGAGGGGATTTCAGAAATATCCTAGAGAAACAATACAACCCTTGGCAATGTATGTTGCGGTATCGAGGTGACGATGCATGGAATGGTGCGGGTATTGACCTGATGAAACCTAGACAAAGTACGTTTGACGAGAGCTTGACTCCAGAAGAGTTTGCGAAGAGAACGGTTCTTCTTGTTGGCGGTCGTGCCGTACTAAATAAAAGCAGTCCAGAGGCGCTGGACCCAGAGGTAGGAGACCCTCAGATGAAGTCCCCTGAAACCCTCCAACCGGCGATCCTCCAACCTGCGATCAACATCATGTTGGAGGAGGTGAGACGTGTGTTAAGGGTAGGTTAAAGGTGCTTTTCTTACCGCTTTTTATGCCTCTCCTAAGGGAGAAAGGCATAAAAAGCGGGGTAAGCAAGCACCAAAAGCCTACCTCTAAGTGTGGATTTCTTGCTTGGTTCGGAACAGAGAATCCCAGAGGATTTTCGGGCTATGTACAACCATCGCTACTTGCCAGCGCCGGTGGAGGAGGTCCTATTGCTTTTGTTGCGGAGTAAAGCGAACTTCGGAGTCGCAGACTTTGTGAGGATGGTGATTGAGTTCTTCGAAGGAACAACTGCGGATTCGAATCGAGACAAGCAGGTATTAAATGAGGCAGGAGCAATAAAAAATGCCAGTAGTGAACAAGAACAAGAAGAACAAGAAGATGCAAGAACTGGTAAAAATGCAAGAACTTCTAGGGAACATCATGATCATAGAGATAGCAGCACTTTGGTCGCTCAGGAAATAGCAGAAGAACGAAATGCAGCTGGGAAACGAGAAAATCTGCCGGCAAGGTTTCTCGTCTACTGGATTTGGCTGGAGCGGATCTCTTTTTCAGTCCTTCTGGGCATGTCGAAGCCTTTGGCCGTGGCGGTTTTTCTCATGCGCTTAAAGCTAATGCGTGGAATCAGCCTGTGCCGAGCGACTATGTTCGCACTGCAAGCGGAGCGGTTCCTTGAGAATGAGATAAAAACAAGTGATAGTACAACAACTGCAGGGAATTATAATGACGGTAGCACGACCGGGAGCGGTAGATCGGTACACGATGGCGATGAAACAACGAGGTTCAGCCATCCAGAATTGCGGAGTATATTTGAAGATCTGCAGTTGCGGGAGGACGAAAATATGAACCCCTCGACGTCGCAGCCCGCTTCATCTACAAAGAAACAACTGCATCAGTCCTGGGAAAAGCGTTTACTTCAAAGACTCTTAGAAGTGTTACGGAAACACTATTTGAGTGGAGGTGCTGGAACAAATACGAAGAGCTACTTGGAAAGCGTGACTCATTTTTTTGCCGATGTTTGCCGAACCTATGGTCGCGGCTCGCGCTTAGTCTGGAAAGAATGTGGTTGCCAGGATTATATGGAAGTGCGGACAGAACCGATGAATGCAGGTGCAAGCACTAGCAGTACGAGTAGAAGTAGAAATACGCGGTCAAAAATGGCATCTTCTTCCTCGTCTCCTTCACCAAGCGGGGATGATCCTGGAACTTCTGAAGTTACGCAAGAACAGCTAGAACCTGCTGCTTCATGTGGTGACCTGTTGCACCCTGAGACTGCTGGAAGTCTTCGGAGAAAGCACCACTATTACTCCGGCTACGAGTATGAAAGATCGGATAGTATTGCAGTAGAGGGTTCAGGTGAGGAGGACGAAGGAGTGACACGGCTGCAGACTTTAGAATGGTCTGGAAGAGTGCCTTTGGGGGAAGACTTGTTGTTCGGCAGTTTCGATTCTGGTGGAGGTGGAGGAAATACGTCTGGTGGTCCTGCCTCAAAGGCGCAGAACGACCGGGACAACAGTATCGGTAACAAGGAAAACGCAAAGGTCAACAGCAGGAACAAGCGCATCAGCAAGAAAGGTAGGGTTACTATCGACGTTGTGATTCCAGTGTGCGCACAAGGAGATGTCGATGACCTTGACATATCTGTCTTTCCAGGTTGGAGTCGACTCTTCTTCTATGATCTTTGTGGGGAGTTTTCGCGATTCTTGCCGCCAGACGAAGCGAGTAGTAGGACTAGCACTGAAACTACATCAATAGGAAGATCAGGAGAAGAAGTAATAAAACAGACGCATCAGCAGCACCCAAACACAGGCACGAACAGCGAGAAGTTCTTGCGCACAGTACGCGACGCTGGGTACCGGTTGTTTTCCGTGTTATGAATCCAATTGCAATTATGATTCCTTTTCTTCCCTCTGTATGGAGGCACTGTCAGACTGGATGGCCTCATGAGTAGACACTAATAGCTACAGAAGAGGTGCCATGACATGCCATTTTCTTCCCTCGTCTGTTCTTGGCCTCTTGCTTTCTTGTTTCCCTGACTAGGGGCTTGGTATTACGATGTAACCTCGAACATCCGACAGCATTGGTTCCAAATTCAACCTCTAACATCCGCTGACATTTTGAAAAACCAAGAAGGCGATGTAGATGAGCAGCGTTTTCGCACGAATCCCTTAGCTGTGGCAATTGTTGAGCGTTGTGCCAAGTTTCGTGGTGACTCCGTCTTCTTCGATGACAGCCATGAAGAAGACATCCGAACTCTAGATACCGGTGTGCGGTTTTATCATCTTGCTAAACATTACGACACTGTGGCGGACATCGTGTTTATGGCCCACCCAGACTGGCGTGAACATGCTACAACGGGAATAATGCAATCGCTATTCGAGTCTCTAGAACGGGGCTTGGAATGGCGAGAAGAAGCGCGTTCTCCGGACGTCGTCCACATGGGCAAGCGGCATCACGGTCCTTTGTTAGAACGACCCGTCTTTCGTGGCAAGGTGGCGAATGCTGACAGGTTTTTGTATGGTGGAGGTAGTCGTGGTGAAGTAGTTGGTCGTGAGACTGGTACTTCATCTTCTGTTCATCAAATGCACTCGTCCGATGCAGCTCATTTTCCTGATACCTCCACTACAACTGGAGCCGAAATTCTAGATGCGTCACCGGAGATTGAAGGGATTCTCAACTTGCTGAAGGACTTCGTGAATGGAATTCGTGATGAAAATAGAGATGTTGTTGTACCGACTAATCAACATCAACAGCTACAGCACGAAACAGAAGTAGAAGCTAGAGCTACAACATCTTCTTCAGCAGGTGGTTTCGTAGCACCGGAAACATTTGTTTATCACGCTGTGGGTCTTCGTGACGGCGAAATGGGAGAGTTTTTGGGCAAAGAGGATTTTGACTTGTCAAATGGGTTTTTTCTGGATAGGGAGCAACCGTATGAACCAAGGTTAAGGCATTCATATTTGTTCGAGGACCTTAGTCACTATAAGAACAATAAAAACTATAGTCTTCACTATATTAAGAACAGTAAAAACTATACTTCTAATCAGACCTTAGTTCCTATGTTGTATGACAATAACTATATTACAACTTCTACGTACTTCTAATCATCTTGATAAGCTTAAGTAGAATCGTGGCTTTGATCTTTTCTAGGTACTTTGGTTCTATGAGACCGACGAGGGCGCTATGTAAGTATTCTCAAGAGATGCACTTCTATGCAAGTGCTCCTGGTGCCAGGAATGAATAACCGGAGTAAGTCTGGAAAAGCTCCACCTCCTCTAAGCGTGCGCATCGACGTGCATAGTTTTCGAGCTTCATTGAGGAAGAGCCTGCGACACGCTGCCACTGAAGGAGCCGCAGCTGTTCAAGATGTTGTGCAACATGCGCGAGAACAACTTCAGAGGATCCTGGAGACCAAGGAGAAGGAGAGCAAGGAGAATGTTGATAACGAAGAGAACTCTCCTGATACAACTGGAAGTACATTAAGGCTTGGGAGAAGTTGACATCTCTAATTGCGCGTCTCTATGTCTTCTTCAAGTAGGAAAGCCACAGATATGCATATGCGAGCAGGTAGAGACGCCAACTTTCAACCCCTAAGCACACATCTTCAATCCTCCATCGGCGCTACCTCCTCATCGGATGAAGCGAAGATTCGAATCGATCGTCGCATTCGTGAATCCACTCGCAGATCCGTTATTACGCGTACAGACCCGAATCTCCATCGCTTGCCTGACGCATACGAACGCCCATTGCACCAAAAGGTCTGGCGTGTACTTTTTCAAGAGGAATTCTCTTTGAGTCGTGGCAGCAGGCAGCACTTTGGCGGCTACGATTATGGGGTTTTCCTCCTCTCTCGTCGTGCGGTGCATGCTCGTGCGCGAACCTGGTATGAGAATGTAGCTTAAGGCTCAGCTTTCAATGGTCATTGGGGTTGGTCACTGAGATCGAAGAAGCGACCTCCCCTTGAGAGGAGAACAGGGGAAAAGGAAGGGAAAGGGGAGAGCTTTGAAGGGAGTTTCTTCCGTTCAGCATCAGTGACCATTGAATGCTGAGCTTTAAGTAGCATACGGTTTGCAGAGTCTGCCGAGTACATGGGCAGCTGGGTTTGTCTCGTCTAGTGGGACTGTGCGACGCCGCGGAAGTGGTAGAAGTCTTCGCAACAGCATGATTAGTAGTGGAAGTGTGAGTAGACAAGTAGGCGAAGGAGCAACTTCTAGGCAGCTCCTGCTGGTAAATAAAGCGAAAGCCAGCACAAGTTCAAACTCTTGGTCAACAGCAGCAGGTCGATTTGTGTCAGTGCGGACAGACATCAGTTCGACACCTCGGATCTACAATAAGGCGATCTGTATGGTCTTCGAACACTTATGGAGTGTAGTTTTCGGGTTCGTTGCTCACAGTCAAGAAGGGGATAGGTTTACTTTTGGGTATCGAGCGGATGAACCAGTAACAGGCGGCGAGGAGGAGCTCGTGAAGCAGAGTGACAGCAGATCTCCAATTATAGAAACACAACGTTCAGCTTCCATCCTCCTGAAGAATCGCTTCTACGATAACGCCTTACCACTCACTTTTAGACTGGAGTCGCATCCTGCAGCTCGGTCAATCGTTCATTTTGAGAACGTGTGGGCTGACGACAAAATGAGCTTGCTCTCAGTGCCAGAACGATGTGCCATTCAGCATTTTCTGCTCAGCGATCCCCGTTACTACATACAACGTAGCATTCTACCGCAATTCCCAAGGATCTGCTATGTCGTGTAGTACTTGCTCGAGTAGATTTACTGTCTTAGTTGGTGTTTTCCATTCTTCACACGAAACAGGTCCTGCAAGCCCAGATGAACAAAAAGCATCAACAGACAGAACCAGAATTATCTCCATCTTACGCACACCTGACTTTTTATTCTCACTAGTCGTTTTTTCGCACAAAGGATTTCGGAATAGTAGCCCTTCTTCTCATCTTCAAAGACATGGATATTTTATGTATCATCTTTCAGGCACTAAGAGGCAGACACTGAATGTGTCAAGAAAGAGGTACTTGGTCATAGCAAACCAAAAAGAAGGGAGCCGAAAAGAAGAAGAAGAAGAAGAAGTCCAAGGCGAAGAAAAAGAAGGGCGACTCTTCTGATTCGGATAGCTCTACCTCCTCTTCTTCTGAGATATCGTCGATCAAGGACGAGAAGGATGGCGAGGATGTTGCTATGGGAGACAAGCAGAACAAGAAACGCAAGCTGCGTAAGCAGGAATCCATCCTAGCGGATATCCGTAAGGAGCGTGAAGGCCTGGAGCAAGCTCGAAAACTTTTAGCGGACCAACAAAAGCCTGCGGATCCCGGGGTAAACTAGCTCTTCAAGATCATCGTTGCCCACTGATGGGCATCGCCCGCCGTCTTCTTCTACACAAGCAAAACTTTCTGATCGTCGCAACAATCCAAGTACACAACCCGACGCCCCTTCTCCAGTTAGCGCAATAGTACTGATCTCCATCATCTCCATAGACGACACCATTCTGAGCCTCTTCCTTTGTTGCCAGAAAATAAGCCGATGCAGCAGCAGCAGCAGCACTAAAAGTGCAGCCCCTGGAGGGGCATGACTAGGGTCGAACATGAGCATCGAAGGCTGAAAATAAAATCCGTGTTGAATGGTGTGCTTATGGCGATGGATAGCGCACCCCATTGATTTGCCTCATTCTCCAGCAGAAGGAAAGCGTGGGTGTTCATGCTGTGAGCACCAAACAACGAAGTCATTGAAGATGTACCCGCATGCTGTTGACCTTTTCCACTGATGAAACAAGAAGGTCAAACGAAAGAAGTACGATGATGATCCATGCAATTTCTGTCGGTCTTATAAAATTGACTAAAGCTTTACCCGATAAGAGTCACATGCTTAAGATTTTAACTATTTGATCCCACACCTGAAGTCGATCGTGTGCTTAGTTGGTATTCTAGTGGTGGAGGGAAACTGGTGAGGCTTGTGGAATAAATAAGTGGTCCAATTAATAAGCACAACATCAAGCAGTTCAGCGCTCAAAGAAGCTCCCGGTAGGCTGAAAACCTTCAACTACAACTTCCAAAACTAGAACAAGAAGGTCAAGGAGACGAACCGGCTTGCAATGCTCTCGTCGCTGCTAAAAGAGAACAAAAATCCACCATGCTGGTAGCCCTAGCAGGGTGATGGTGGAAGCAGATGGTGGACCTTGTTCAACATGATGATGATGATCGCCGAATAGTGTGGCTTTGTACGGTTTCCAGAGAGAAAGAGAGGAGAAAAGATGAAGAAGAAAAAGGAAAACTGATACTCGCTTCGCGATAACGGACATTCAGTTCACAATATCAGCTTAGGTTTTAGACAAGTCCCAGTAGACACTATCGCTTGTAGTTGAGGTAAAAAACGTACTTAGACGGCAACGCCGCGGCCGTGTCCAGCACAACATATGCTTCAGTGTTCGCTTAAAAGCTGATCTGGATCATGCCACTGAATCTTCAGCATATTCGATGGATGATCACTCATCGGTGACCACATGATCACGAAGATCACAGTTTCCTGGCATATGCCATTGATTCCTGAGTCGAAAGTGCAGGTCGAAGTCTCTTCTTGTGCCGTTATTTACCTTTTGCTGGAGTTACTAGGGCAGTCCGGCGGGTTCTGCAGTGTCACTTTTCTCGCTCGGGTTATTGTGCGCGCGATTACTGTGACCGACGTATTCGTTTGACGAGAAACAAAGACAATCACATGATGTTATACAAACATGATATTAGAAGTAGTGGTGGAGGACATGATTGATGATGTCAAGTAGTTTTGAAACTCACTACAAGAACAAGAACGTTGGTTCGATGAAGAAATCATTATCTTCAGAATCTTCATTTTTGATGAACTTGAAAAAGATAAAACTGAAAGGAACAACTTCATCTTTTGCTCTTCATCACGTCTTCTTCACTTTTCTTCTCCTACATCAAGACCTTTCCGCGATGAGAGGTTGTGGAGTTGGCGTTTTCGCCCTTACGGCTACCCCATGGTCCTGGGCACCACTGGTTGAAGCGTCTTCTGGCCCATTTCTTGATCATGGAGGTACTACTAGTACAACTACTTCCAGCAGTACTAAGAAAACTAGACCCCGCACATCATCTTCGGCAACTTCGTCATCGTTAGAAGATGGTGAAGAAGATGGTGAAGCTTCTAAGTCAAGAAGTGATACAGGTATTTTTACTGCAGGTAGAAGTGCCTCCAGTGATTGTGATACCTTGGTGGAAGAAGAAGGGGTAGTTGCAACATCATTTGGGAAAGCCGGCACCTCCTCACTTGAAACCTGCGAAGAGCATTCGCCTAGTTGGGCACCTGATTCTCAACAGCAAGAGCTGCACACTCGCTATTCTTCCGCACTAGCAGGATCATTTTTATCACGCGCTTGGCCACCCGTTTTAGCTACGCTGCTTAACAACCCGTTGTTAGGTTCTAAACCTACTGCGCCTGCTTCTTCGTTCGCTCCTGTGAATCCAATTCGAGCCTCTTCTTTTGGTATGAGCGCATCTTCAAGGAATCCCAGATACCACGTGCAATTGGCTGGTACAGCTGTCCCCTTTCTTCTCGGAGACTCTAATGTTTGCCGTCTGACAAATAAGCAACTCTTTCCTACTTGCTATGCGGCTATTCTTGAAGAGTACCAGAAGGCGCATGTTGACCAGCAGAATCAGAGGGACAAGATGTCCTCCTCGTCCGATGACTGTGTTTCTGGGCAGTTGCAGGAGAGCGATTCCAATCTAGTGTCTCAACTTCAGTGCATGACCCTGGATGGCGGGAAGACGGGCACAGATACTAGAGATGAAGGAGAGTCAATATCATCATGCAGCAGGAGACCACTTGCATCCTGGTGGGCTGCAGGTAGCTCGTCTTGGTTTCCGGGACGACGCCCCTGTTTCCACAATATGGACGTGGATCATACGACTACAGGAGCATCCGAGTCAAAAAGCGTGTCGGCATCTTCTTTAAGGCGGATTTGAACCTGGAAAAGCTTCTTCTAGTAGTGGGTAACTAGTAGGTCTGAAACTGAAATGGAAATTAGTTATAGCAAGAAACCTTGAAACAGCTCTTCGACCGAATCTGGACGAGCATTGCGATCCGAATTCGTATTCCGGTTACAAGAACTTCCCAAGTAAGCAACTAGGTCTGAAATGACAACCACCAGGTTACAATAACAAGGACGAATGATAGCATCATGATTTTGTGACGAGAACACGGAATACATGGAATGAAGATATATATCATGATTCTTTATTGTCGCGCGTGAGTTTGCGACTTTTTTCCTTGAAAATGCTCTAAAAATCTCTGGAGCTGCTGAGTGCGGTTTGGCTACCTTTCTAGCTGCGTATCCGAATCTGGAAGAGTATTGCGATCCGAATTCGTATTCTGGGATTGCGAGACAGCGGGGACCATTGTCCATACCACCGCACGTGGGCATCGTCATGGATGGAAATGGTATGAAGGCCGCTGTGGATGTACTTACTTTACTACTTGGTAAGGAATGCTAATGTAAATGCTGGTAGTAAGTGCAAGTGAGTAAAATAGATAGTGGCAGGTCTTGTTGTTGACCTGCTATGTCTTCTATGTCATTGCAGTTCAATCTCCGTAAGAATCCTGCAGTTCCAGTTCTTTGGAGTACTAGAGTCCCTAGTTGTATAAGACGGGTAGACATCGTCCACCTCGTGCCCCCCCTAGTTGTTGTTACTGTCATTTTATTTGTACTTTCTTTCCAACCCTCCGTTCTAATCGTAGTCGCTGGGCTCAGCAACGCTCACTTCATCGCTCCTTTGGACACAAGAAGGCAGAGGATAATGTGCATAAGATAATCGAAGCAGCGGCAAAAATTGGAGTTCAGCAACTCACGCTTTTTGCTTTTAGTACCACTGAAATCTTTTTTTTTGAATTTGATGACCTCTACTTGTTGTTGTTTCTAGTAGTGCATAAGTACCTAAAATCTACATATTTATAGTACTACTTCAACTACATAGCTGCTCGTGTATTTTTCCTTGCATTTTTCTTAGACAGGTACAAGCGTTGTGCGTCGTGTCGGGCAATTTCATCTGCATCAACTGCATCATTGTCATCCTCACTCGCTTCTTCAACAGGTTCTGACAACTGGGCGCGTCCCAAGGACGAAGTTTCGCATTTGATGCAACGCTTTGCCTCTTTTTTGGTAGACTCGAAATTGCGGAAACAGTTAACTGAGCATCAGATTCAAGTGCGTGTTATCGGGGATTTGTCTCCACCTTTACCTCCATGGACTGCGGAAGATCAGAAGAGAGTTTCATGTGGTACTTGTAGGAATATACAGACAGGAGTAGTACAAGATGAAGAGCAAGAACTAGAACACCAAGAAGATCAAGAACATCTTCTGAGCGGTGCTGCTTGTGCCTCTGCGCCTGTTGTAACTGGAGAAACACCTCCAAGTGTATCTGGAATAACCGCCGTTCCTCGAGTTCCAAGCATGCCACAAGGGCTGACTCAAGTTTACCGAACGACGTCCCCTGACAGTGTTACTACTACCTCATCCTATTCCTTACCGGTAAGCGAAAGACCGCAAATGACCAGTGAAAGCGAGAGTTGTGGGTACAACCAACTGCGTAGCCGCTTACAGACACCACCAGCTGGTGGAGGACCACAAGTTTATGGACGAAGTTCTTTGGAGTTTCAAGTCGAAATAGCCGAGGATAGATACTTACCTCGTCAATTAGTTGTAATACATTGTTGTACCTAGTACTGCCACTTTTGTTTGTAAAGATGTGAACTTTATTAGGCTTATAGTAGCACTGTGGAGATTGCTTCTACCACAACAACGTAAGATTTTTGTGAGAGGAAGAAAAAAAGCGTCGTTATGCACCTGGACCTGAATCGTCTAAGTACATTTTTTGTTTAGTTTTCAACTTTCATCTTCACGTTGTTGACAAAAGGAAGCCCCAGCTTGTTGCTGATACTGCTTGTTCCGCGGCCCTTGAAGGAGATTTACAAGACCAACAGGACGACCGCATGATCAGCAGTCAAAACACGGACTCCTCTTGGCTACGTTTGGCAACCCCAACGCCTTCGATTCCTACCTCCCCCTTTACCAGCTTCTTCGCCGTGGGAGGCGGCGCGTTTTCATCGACAAACCCGCTGAATCTGAATACATCCCCCACAGCTGCTGCATCTGGAGCATCTGCTTCTGCAGGTGAAGGAGGCTTAGCTCGTGCTATTGCTGGATCTTCCAAGAGGAAAGGTTGGAAATCTCTGTCACCTCCTGTGCAAAATCACTACCTAAAAAGCTCGCATCAATCGTCTGGGTGTCTTGTTTTATGCGCACGCAATTATTTCAGTTTCGAATGGATTGAGTAGATGCAGGTCTTCTAGATCTACATACTTACTAAAAGCTTCTACTTACTCATTATAATTTCTGAGCAGTCTCTTCAACTTCAAAGATGTTTCGTCGACGACCATGAGAAAAAGAGGGACACTCCTGCAGTTGTATGGGCTCTCTGGCCTAACTTGACCATTTCACTTCAATCCTTCCTTGTGCTTCTTGAAATGATCTCTGAAAACCGTCTCCACCGTGCTTTATTTTTTCTAATTATACCAACTTCCACCCCCACAGCTGGGCGTGGCTGTGGCAGCATCAAGACTTCTGCACACAATAAAAAGTGTGGCACACCCCGAGTCGCGTCTTCCGGGAGAGGCATGATTGCCGGAAGTTCTAGAGCCTTTGGGGGGCGAACTTCTTCCTCCGGGAGGAATAAGAAAGCTACGAATTATCTTCCTGGAACAAATGTTACTACTGGTGGAACCACTAGTAGTAGAACAACAACAAGATCAAAGTCGCTAATATCTTCTGAGGAGGACTTTGACCAACAAGGGGGTGAACAAGGTCAAACTCAGGAAGTTCCTGCATCATCTTCTCCTTGCGCCGCTACCGAGAACCAGATGACCTCAGCACAACAAGGACCCTTCAACATGTCTTCGAGTGAGGATCTTCCTGTCGCAAACAGCTGCTCTGCTTCGAGGAGCAATTCCCCTCCTGGGTCTGGTGACGAGTCAGCTACTTCTCCCGGTCTAAAGCAAGTAGCACTAGACACGACAGGTACAGAAATAGGCGGGCTACAACCAGAACAACAACAACAACAATTACGGCTTTATCGCCTACTCCACCATGACCTTCAGAAGCATCTTGAAGCTGTTTCTTAAGGAGAAAGAAGCACCAAGATGCATCTCAGGATGGATAAGGGTGAGCTCTAAAGCAAGGAGGTGGCTTCGTGTCGTCCTTGAAAGCTGGAGCTACTGGCTTGCTCCGACGAGGACAAGACCTCTTTTCGCCGGCTAGCGGGGCCGATGTTATGGTGTTAGAATTAATCAGTTTCAGTATCAGGATGATCAGACTGAATTATAGATATGGACTACTTCTTCTTCTTCTTCTGGTTCTTGTTCTGAGCCAGGTCCACCTACTAGCAACTACGTTTTCTGATGCAAATTTCGGCGTAACGAAAATAATCTTTTTTGATTGTTGTTCTGCCTCCCGATAAACTTGTTCTAAAATCTCCAGACGCAGCACGTCTACTTCAGGATTCGAATTCACCCTGTTGGATCCAAATGAAGCAGAAGCAAGTGAACACATCACGGCTTCAAGCACAAAGAAGAAAGGACTCCAACTAGATACAGCTTCCCGAGAGCGTTTCCAACAACTCATCGCGGATTTGCAAAACGAGACCAAGGACCACAAGGGAATGCGGCTCAATATCCTCTTGAGCTACTCGTCGTCGTGGGAAATTCAACAGGGGGTCGAGAGATACGTGATTATGGCTTACTAATCTTTCATGCCGAGAAAGAGAAAATAGTATCCGTCACGAACAAGAGTGAACTAGATCATCTTCTGAATGACCTCGTATAAAAAGATAGCTCCAATCAATATCAAGGGTTGGATGTTGGCATCTCTATGCGCATCTCTGTGATGGTCCCAACCCCAAGTGATGCTTCTAAAACCAAGTTCTGTGCAGATTACGGTGGTTTCGAATCTGTGGCGGGTGATGAAATGGCCGAACAGTTACCCTGGTGCGATAATCTAGTGCGAATGATGCATGTGGATTCCGACGTGGATCTCTTAGTTCGGTGAGAACTTACAGAAGATTCATCACATTTCTCTAAAAACTGAGTACTTCTACTTACACTTACGGGTAACAAGAACTATTCGTGCATCGACCGACGTTTCTTCACCTCAACTACAGAATGATCTTCAGATGAAGTTCCATTCTTGTTCACATAGACATCTTCATCATCATCTTACAGAACCGGCAATGCTGCTCGTTTGTCGGAATTTTGTTTGACGCAGCTGAGGTATGCAGAGTTGTATTTGGAAAGCAAATTTTTTCCGGACTACACACCTGACGACTTGCTCTCGGCGATTCGGTCTTACAGTGGCAGACAGCGCCGACGCGGTAAGACGCCGGAGCAGGCAGCAGCGGAATTGGCACAACAGAGGGGACAGCCTGTTGAGTGTTCCTGAACATCATGCTGTTGGGGTTTGAAATACCTTTTGGAGTTTGGACCTGACCATCATGGTGGAAAGTTTGGAAATGAGAGTACTCAAGACCTTCTTCTACTTCATGCTGAGTGTCTTGATTCATCGCAGCACTACGCTGCTTATAATGGGTATCGTCAGTAGAGGACCTAGAAGTACTAGATGTGCCGCAAATAATATACCTACAGAGAGATTTCTTTAACGATTAGAAACTGAGCCCAATCATTAACATTATGGGACGCACACACATGAGGATTGACAGAAAAAAATAGGACAAGCACGAGCACCCGCTTCCCGCTTCGGATCCAGGACAATACATAACGAAAATTCATTGGAGATTCCAACAGTGGTCGTCCGTATGAGTAAGCATAACCATAGACTTCCTTGTCTTTCGTTTCTTTCACACTATTCTATTCACAATTGTAGTGGATCATTGAAGCTTTGGCGAAGAATCCATGTTGGCATGTTGCTGCTCGTGTGGATGATCTATAAGATTGGAGTAAATAGAAGGTGGAATTATGCATTAATATATCATGACCACTCGGCTGCATCTAAAATCTAATTGAGTTTGAGATGAAGTGAAAGAAGTTTTTGTGTTGTCTTTGTGTGTATTCTGCACTTCATTAAATGATTCTTTTTTTGAGTTCTTAAGAACCGAAGTACTTACGACGTAGTAGGTGTATAATCAGCGAGCCCAAGAAGCACATTCCAAACAAGAGTATAGGTCGAACTACTTATCTTGGTTCAATGATCTGGTAGAACGAAGCATCAGCTGTTTGCTTTTGGACAGAAGTCACCAGAGCAACAGGAACAAAAAGTATTGCGATCAATGTACTCCCGAGGAAAGCCACGTGAGGAGTTAAAAGATTCGGTGATCTGCAAGTCCAACGAAATACACACTCACTGAGAGGAAAGCAGGACAGTCTTAATGTCCATCGGTTACTACAAGTGGGCCAATTTCCGTTAATGAATTTCCTCCTCGGTTGCGCACTACTCGTCCAATATTAAATGAGCAAATTACAACATGGCACGCATGGTGTGTCTGTGGCGCTTCTGTCCAGATCACATCGGCGTTAACATCACGCCACTGCCACAAGAACTAGGACTACTCACCTCTCACCCTCGCGAAGGTAAGTATCATCATGCACTCCCTTGAAGTTGAATCGTGGATAATGTGCTCGACTACATGCAATGCTGATGCTTCTAAATTAATTTACTGAACCTTCCACCTCTGAAAATAAACATAGAGATGTACTACAATCAAGTACAATAAGATAATAATGGTTGTTGGTCTAGTTGCTCGAATCAGGTCGAAGATATTAAGAATTATGGAACCAGCATAGGTCACCTCAGAGAAGCACATCTTGTTCGGAACCTAGCATAGGTCACCTCACCAAGCACATCTTGTTCAGAACCCATAGCCATAGGCCACCTCACCAAGCACATCTTGTTCAGAACCTAGCATAGGTCACCTCACTACATCACCAGAAACGATTTGTAGCAGGACGCAAGAGGGATCACCAAGATGACTAAATGTGCATCTCCTTCTACTTCGCCTGCAACCGGTGGACATCAAGAACAAGTGGCACCTAGAAGTACTTCATCGCTCAACAATAAAGCCTCCATCTCCAACAAGAAGGTTGCGCCGCGATCTGAAATTCCTGCCCTTCACATAGTTTCGGCTACAGCTACGCAACAACAAAATGCAATCGCGGCTACAGCTACGCAACAACAAAGAGGTGCTGGAAAAGCTAATCGCGGGGGATCGCAAGGACAAGAAGGTGGAGGCTCGACGACGATAGTATCGAAAAACAAGACGAAACTTCATGGTAGCAGAGCGGCTGAGGGAGAATTGCAGCCCTTGCTCTTCTTGAAGCAGAATCTTTACTCGGAGGTACAGTTTGATTCTACTGCTATTCCTTATCTTATGAACAAAGAATGTTGAGTATTCTTAAGATTTTTAGTAGATTGAAGATTGATAAAATTAAAAACATTTTTACCAGCAGGTCTGCTGTTCAAGAGTATGATGATCGTTCTTCTTCAAGTTTGATTACACGGAAAAATGCCATGCAATCGCCCTCTTCGCTTTCAGGCTGCTTTCGATGACCTCAACGACGATGGCGCTGCGCCGCCACAAACACCTGGCTCATCCGACAGTGATCGCGTTGACTGCGATATCGATGAGAATCAAAACTTAGTTTTGATCAAAAGTGCAAGGTACTGAGTACCTTCTTAATATTTATTTAGACAGTACAAGTACATTATAAGCATAGATACGCAGAAATAGAAAAATAGATGAAGAATAGGTTTCATCTAGCAAGCCGAGGGTTCGCTTCGCTTTACCGATCAGAACATGACCAGGCTCATATCCTACCCCCTCTCAAACCAGGAACAATCGCCCGTCCTCGTCTGCGCTCGCATTATCACGGACTATCGATCAAAAAGTATCAGACATCCCGAATCATATACGACCATATTTCCAAAAAGCCATCGATGCAGGCATCCTTCATCAAGATGATCTTGCTGCACCTCCTGTTGATGTGGGAGTGGGGAAGAAGAGGTAACAAAATGTGACTTCTTTAGGTAGTTGTGCAACTCGTACCCACCTTGACCTTGTACCACTTTCATGCCAACGATTTCAAGAATCGAGAAGTTGAACTAAATCTCAAATGAAGCCATCTTCATCTAAAAACTGAAACAACTTCTACAAAAGGTATCGCAAGAAGCGGGATGACATTGCTCCTGGATCGGAAAAGAAAGAGACTAGGAGTCGTTCCTGGTGTGCTAAACCGCAACATGAAGTCTCTCAAATGTCAGGAGAAGGGGAAGAGACTGAAGGAGAAGTGTTTTTTTCCGTGTCAGAGGCAGAACCTGCTGCCGATTGTGACAACAAAAACAGAGCAGGAGGACAACATGATCAAGGACCAGCTGGAAGGAGAAACAGTGTCCTTGTAGCCAATCATGTCGACAAGGGAACCAATGGTACATCATCAACTACAACTGGTGGCAAAAACTACAACAATAGTACTATTACTACCAAGATGAAAGCAGCTCCTGCAGGTGGTAATCATAGAGGACGTGCAGGTCGTGCTGGACCTGGAGGAGAGTATCCTAGTACAACAGGTGCTGGAGGAGGAAGGAACGAAGCCGCTTCTTCTACGTCACAACAGCATCAGATGAAGCACAATGTGAAACACGCAGACCTCGTTTTCGGCACTGGAGAACAAAGATCAGGACAGCAGCTGCGAACAACGAGTCAAGAGTTGAATCTGCGTAGTCGTAGTCTTGACGAGGATTTTCTAATTTACGACAACGTCATGCCTCAGAACATGCATAGCCGGTCTAGCATGTTAGAGGACTCGGTCATGTCTTCAGTGTTCGTTTCCCGCGAACACGCCCTAGCAGGAGACGGCTTTTACGATACTCGATATACGAATGCGTCCTCATCCGTTTCGCCGTTGTACAGAACTACGGAGAGTATCTTTAGTGTCACGCAACAATCTTCCTTCCAGGAGAATGTACCTCTGTCCCTAGACCCGGAAGCAGTTTTCGCGGACCGCAGGATGCCTTCTGTCTTCGCCACGGAACCAATGAATGCGGAGGCGGTAGCTCTGAGACAACGCTACATCGCGAAGCGTCAGTTTGTCCCTAGTAGAGGTCGGCAAGCGAAGAAGTTCTACCATGGTGCTTCTAATGCTGCTGGTGGCGCTGGAGGACCGGGTGGAAATATAGTAGATCAACATCTACACTCGTCTGCGAACAACAAAGCTCGTGGTGAATTGAGTGTCGTTTCGTTGGAGATGCAGGATCCCACAACTGGTAAAACTTCTTCAAATAATAACAACAAGATCAAGAACAGTACAAGTGTCTTCGTCCTTGATCAGAAGGACATGGGTGCTAATACTACTAGCAGGTCGTGGTCTTCAATGGAATTAGTACAACAAGAGTCATCAAATGGTAGCAAGCCATGTCTCGGCGGGCCATTTGTGCATTCGCAGGCTTTTGTCGAGGCTGCGAGGCAACAACAAATTGCAGCCGGTAAGGAGCAGCAACAGCATCAGTTGTTGCAGAAACGAGGAGCCGGAGTTGCAACAACTAGAAGAGTGTTAGCTTCTTCATCTCGTAATCCAGACCAAGATGAGGATTTCAACATGGCCGCGACTTCGAATTCGAGCGTTTGGCTAGGTCCCAGGCAACTGCACAATGACAGCACTGATAGCGTGAACAACATCAGTAGAGAACTCGTCGGCGAGATGCATGAAGAACAACTTCTACCTGTTTCTGGTCGTGCAGGAGGAGACGTAGAAGCTCCAGAGTCTCCAAAAGGAGCACCTTCCTCAAGCAATCGAGCCGTGCCACCGCATGGTCACCCTAGTCGTCGTGGAGGAAGACCCGGAGTTGTGTCGCCCATTGGCGGTGTAGAAGTATCGCTGTCCCTTTCGCCACGTCACATTGCGGCTGGAGGAAGTTTGCCAGGTCGTGGAGCAATGGGAGGTTCTCCACTGATGTCTCCACAACATCACAGGGGAACACAAATTAGGACTCATCACCACCACTTGCAGCAAGAACTTCTGACGCCTCGGTTACATTTAGAAGTTCGTGGCAGCACCGCTGGAAGCATGACGGCGCGTAGTCGGAGTTCGTCTCTCGGGACGCGGTCATTGCCAGAAGAAGAACAGCTGCGTTCGAGCCGAGGCCGAAGAGGTGGACGTAGTCGTGGTACTACAAAAGGTCACAACCACAACAAAAGGCCACGAACTTTAACAACTTCGCAACACCTTCTAGTGCAAGATGCATTACTAGCTGAGCAAGAAATGCGCATGATTCAGAGAGGGGAACAACAGGACAAGGACTATGAAGGAGTTTCTAGGGGAAGGAATAGAAACATCGTCAGAGCTGGAGGTGAACAGCAACAGGTGGATCCTCGTAGAAGTACGGAGCAGGGAGGACAGGCACGGGCGGGCCGGCGTGGGCGAACAAACAAAGAAGATGCAAAAAAAACTACCACGTCTATCAACGAGGACAAGAATGGTACCAAATGGAATGCTTCTTTGCTGCAAGGATTTCAGAATTTGAGTCAGGAGATCAGGCGGCAAAACAACGACGAACAGCTTGGAACCGCGATTCTAGAAGGCCTGGAAGAAAAAGTCGGTGCATTGTTGCAGAAGTGCTTGAAAAATGGTGGAGGTGCACTAACTCGGGATGAAGCGAACAAGCTGCGGCGTGCTTTCATGACCACACTTTTGCGCATTCCACGACGTAGCAGTCTTCTATGAAGCGAAAAAGTGTACTCATACTCAAGAAGTTACAGCTAACATTTGAGTAGCAAAGCAGCTAATTTTTTGAGTATGAGGACACTTTTTCCTGTCATATCTTCTACAGCAGGGTCACGGAGTCGGAGGAGGAGATTACAACTTGAGTGGAGGTAGTTTACAGCTACAGCTACAAGGTGGCTTACAGAGTTTTCCGGATAGTCCAGCCGGTCGCGGAGGTCAGCACCAACATATGATGGCTGGCCCCGGAAGCATGTTCGACCAACAACATCCTGGCACAATGCCATTGGCATTAACTGGTACCGGTTTTCACTCAACCAAAGCCTCGACGCACTTAGAGGGTGGCGCAAGCACTACATCTGTAGAAGATCCGCATAACAATACTAGAGGTAGACTACGCCTAAACAAATCAGTAGAACAAGGGATCATGGGACTGCTGACGCAAAACGAATTGAAGGATGTTTTCGATGATCCGCCTCCTGTTGCAGGAGCCCAAGAACTACAGGGTCGAACAGCTAGTGAAGGTGTAGCGGTTATACGCGGACATCAGCACCATCAACAAGCAGCCGGGGCTGGAGGAGGACCAGCTCCTGTAGTGATTACAGAAGATCACCATGCAGGTAAACATGCAGCACGACACGTGGGATCTACGCGAACTAATCGAGCAGCTTTGAATAGTCGTCAAGCAGGAGCTAGTACTAGGAACAGACACAATCTGAGTGTTAAGGAACTGCCAAGTGATATCGTGGAAAAAACCAGGACGAGACAGGAGGAGGCGAACTTGAGTCCTCGTGGTCGAGCTGTTCTTGCAGGCGGCCGTGCCCGCCGTGGCCGTGCCCAGATGAATCGCGCAGCTGCGGCACGCGCTGCAGCTGGACGCCATACCAGGAGTGTTGACAATTTGCCAGCTGCACCTCCGGACTTTGTGCTAGCAAAACTAGACGAGGGACCTCAGTACTCCGAAGATGTTGAGGAAATGATTGACATGACAGTGAGCCACTTCATGGGAGATGCAGGGACTTTGGACCTAGATGAACAAGAACAACATGGGATACCTCCAGTTGTACCACTACCTACATCTACTCCAGCAGGTCAGGGTCTAGAAGTTGCCCATCAGAGTCATAAGTTTGGAGGTGGTATGAACAACACGTCTCCTGCCTATTTTTTTGACCGCAACACAGTCACGGGGGCGACTGCAGCTATAATAACGCCACACTTGCAGAAGAATGGACTAGAAGCAGGTCCTCGTGAGTTCCAACAACATATGCTGGGTCCGCAGCAGACTGGCATTTCTCCTCCACCATCACGTGGTCATCTTCAAGGTCGAAAAGGCGAGATGGTTGCTGGTTCGCCTAGTTACGGAATGCGGCGGACCTGGTCACTAAGTGGAGCGGCGAGCAGTATAGGACCACCTCCTCTGTCAACAACGATGCCGCGAGCTCATACGCCCAACAATACTGGCCACGCGATATGGCGAAGACTCATGTTTGAGGCCAAAGCGAAGTATCATCAGCAGATGCGGAGGCATGCTACCCGTCGTCTACTGAACAATGAAGTGCATGCTGGTGGTGCCGCAGGGGAAGTTGATCTTCAACAACAGCAGCATCCTCACATGACTAGTTCCATTTTCTCTGCCTCTTCGATAGACGAAAACGGCGGTGAGAGCGGGTACTCGACTCCTGAAGTGACGGACTTTGTTAGTCCTGGGCAAAAATCTCAGCAGGAAATGGTGCATCCTCACTCCATCCGATTTGAGAACCCCTTGATTGAGAGCTTCTTTTACAAGAAACTAGTGCATGAGTTCAAACGGGGAGAGCCCTCATTAGTCCTGGAGAAGAATCTGCCGCTCCAGGAAGAGGAGGAATTTTTGGAACAGCCGGTACTTGTGGAGCCAGAACAGGGAGGACGAGAGGCACGTCGTACAACTACTAGCCATCTTCAACAGGGTCGTGGTGGAACACAAGTAGTAGATCATGTTGCTAGAAGTGCTGCTGGTGAGGTTGTAGGCGACCGTGCGGGAGCAGCAGCAGGAGGTCGTGATGCATCGGTTGGAGGACCACGACGTAGGAGTCTGATTCAGCAGGATAATGATGGAGATGCGCAGGATATTGATGGAGCCTCTTCATCAGAAGGGCCTCTTCTAGCATCCGCACAACCCACGACTATCGCTGCACTCCCACCTCCGAACAAGGACGAAATTTTTCTCGTCTACATGCAATGTCTCAACGCACATCCTGATTTGTCGATTCAAACGGTGAAAGAACAGATTGAACGGGAGTACTGGGAGTCGCATTTTGGGGCATTCTTCGGAGAACCTCAGCATCATCAGGAATTGTACCTGGGAAGACAAGGCCCTCCTCCAGCAGCAGGAGGTGGCATGGCTTCGTTTAACCAGGAACTCATCGCTCAGCAGCAATGTTTGCAACAACTACCACGTCCAGCAACAACTGCAAGTTTCAGTGTGGACCATCAAGTTGGGGTAGTTGGTCTTGATGGTGTGGAGCAGCAAGGAGGTGTTGGTGGCGTTGCTCCGCCAGGAGGTGCTGATGCCACACAGCAGGAGCGCGACGAGCGTGGCCTCTCTCCTCCTGACACCGCAATTTCTCAGAGTTTGCTCAAGGAACATGGTTGGCGACCTCTTTTGCAAGATGCAGATGTAGTCAAGTTTGATGCCATGGGTGCCAGAAACAACCCCTTTCTTACCCATAGTAGACCGACAACTACATTAAGGGTTACCGAATTCTTGCATCCTTCACTACCAGTCTTGACTTGTTTTCCGAGAATACATAGGAAAGAAGCCAAGGATGACCTGAAGAATGTCCTAATTGCGCAACCTCTAACTACAGGCTCTTTCTGCTCAAGAGTTGAGTCGCCTCTTTATACCACGTTACAAGATTACTTTGCTGGTGGAGCAGCTGCATCTGGAGGTGTAAATCCCGCAAACGGAGCATCTCCGTTGAAGCTGGTACACAATAAGGTGGGACCTTCTTGTTCTTTGAAAGGAGTACGACAACTTCAACATCAAGGTGGTCCTCTTGTTCGAAACTTTCCTGTTTCTAAGAAGATGGCTGATCTCTTGCATATGAAGCAGGCGTTTGGAAGTGGCGGCACTCACGGTGTAGGCGGTGTGGGTGTGGTACCAAACCCTTTGAGGAATACCACCCTCTATGGAGACACGTCTGGAGGTGCGTCAGGAGGTTTTTTGCCAGCCAACCAAAAATTTGTTCCGAAACCGGGGCTGCCACCAGGTAAAAAACTTCTTGCCTCTGCAGCAACGGTTTCGCGACCTCAATCAGCGAACTTGCGTGAAGACAGTGATCTTCAAGGACCTCAATTTGTGATTGATGGGAACCAAAATATTCATAATCATGAAAGAGATACTGCTGGAGGTGCTGGAGGAGGTGTTCCTCAAGGAGGTGTTGATGTCAAGAAGTACCTCATCGGAGCTGGAGGGGACTCATCAGTCTCTGGAGTTCATCCTGGTGGTTCGTTGGAAAAAGAGAACAGTTTGGTCATGTCTCTAGTTGCTCCCAGTGCTTATCACAATTCTAGTACGGCGGATCAACCTCGCGGTCCAGTAATGAGAGGAGTTAGGCGTCGATATGCTAACAAGCCCCAGTCATCGACGACTGCGGCTGCTATCGATTTTGCTTCAGTAAAGGCTGCGGAGCTGTGTCGCAAATTAAACTCACCGCGTGCAGCAGCAGCTCCAGCGGGTTCGGGTCAGGTCATGAATGTGATGAATGGGCCGCGCGGAAGTCAAGAACGTCTAAATCAAACTACTGTTCAACAACAACAACAAGGCAGCAACGCAAATGCAAGGGACGAGATGAAGGCGAATGAGAAGAGGAATGATGAAGATACGAAGCAAGAGGAAGCTGTTGCTGATACGGAGAATTAAGGCTGTACCTAATAGATACATCTTTGGACGCATCCTTGAAACGTATGGAGGAGTATCCACCTGAGGGAAAAGGACTCCCCCATACTTTTCAAGGATGCACTTGGGAGATGAATTACGGACAGCTCTAAGAGAAAGAGCCAGCAGAGCTTCCCGATGTTCTCTCCTGTTCATCTTCTTCTTCTACTATCGGAGGAGGAGCAGGAACTTCATATGAAGACTTCAACAATAACACGTCGTGCACATCAACCTCTAGTACTGCTCAAACAAGTTTGAACATCAAAAACAAGAAGGGCGCTCCACCTCCTTCGCTTGCGGGAGAGGTGACGGATGACACAGCGACCTTTACGACAGACGCAGAAGAACAAATGCATGGGGATGTTATGACTTTCGGAAATGCATCTTTAGAACAAGCATCTTGGGTTTCCGTGTAAGGGGAAAACGGGCCCGAAGATGACTTTCAAGATGGATTCCCGGAAGGTCTAAGGATGGTGTTGACCTAGATACTACACTTATTTCCCTCGTCGGTGGTGGAACAACAGATGACGATCTCCTTGTAGCCTCTGGCGAGATTTCCGTAGATGCTGCTGTTCAACTAGGTGGACCAGCAGAAGTAGAAGTCACTTCTTCAACCATGCTTGAAGAAGGTTCTGCTCTACTTGGTGAACAAGGAGAAGCTAGCAATAAAGCCGATGCCGAAGGTTCTGCTGAACAAGGAGAAGATTATAGCAATAAAGACGATGCTGATGTTCATGGTGTTACCGAAGAAGAGAAGAAACAAACGATAACTACGGAAAACCAAAACGGTGATGTTGTTGAGGACGCTGTGAAAGATAATAAGGACGAACAGGGATTAGAGCTAGAGGAACAACAAGCAAACAAGGATGTAGAAGAGGATGCGAGGAGAAATATCATAGACGATGAACAACAAAACACAACGATGAAGAAAACCAGTTCCAAGGTGCAAACCAGTTCCAAGGTGCCATCAAGAAGTGCGTCCAAGTCTAGTACTAGAGAGGAAGCAAATTCGAAGACCACCACGAAGGAGGAAAAGCCTAAGAGGTCGACTCCGAAAAAGTCTAGTTCGTCCACAACAAACAACAAGACCACAACTGCTGGCACGACCAGTAAAGCCCCGACTTCCACTAAGACTTCCTCCTCTTCTAAAACCAGCAACAAGAACAACAACGATTTTTCTTATCTTCAAGATTCCTCCACAGCTTTGTCGTCCTCTGATCAGGAGAATAATTCTTCTGATTTGCTCTCAAAGATGAAGCGGGAGGCGAAGAAAAACCTTCAAGATTTGAAAGATCCTCGTCAATGTGCTGAGTTTAAGATGAAGTTCCCAGCTTGGGGTCATACGTCGCAATGGCGGCGGAGGCAGATTCAATTAAGGCTACCGCTCCTGAAGCATCCTCTTCCTCACGACCATCATCCTTGGTCTCTTTTTCAAGGGGAAAAAGAAGCAACCAAGGAAGATGCGACCGCGGTAGCTCTAATTCAGCCTGCGGGATCTCGTGTCGGTACTGCAGGGACAGTCGGGTCTTCGCAAGATAATTCGACCAGTGTTGCACATAGCAAAAATAGTAGCAGTACTAGTAGTCGTAATTATCCTGCAGCTGCACCTGCAGCTAGTAGTAGAGTCCTTGGAAATAATGCTGGAACAAGTGGATCATCAGCTAGTACTACAGCAGGAGCAGCTTCTAGTGCAACTTGTTCTGACGCTAATAATGCTGAGCATCACAATTCCAGCTCTTCAACGACAGCGGCGTTTGCAACGAACGACGTCTTCCACAGAGACCAATCTTTTTCATCGTCTTCGAGTAGTTTGCAGATGGCTCCTGGTGGAAACAATAATTATCTCTCTGGAGGCGAATCGACGTCCTCGTTGCAGTTTCAGGACAGCACTTGCTTTGACCACGACCTAGATGGAACACTTGGCGGTAATGCGTCACTCTTGTCGCCAGGTAGGTCGCGAAGCCCTCTTGGAGGTTCTCAGCAGCTCTTAGACCATGGTCCAGGAAGCAGCTCCCGTTTGTCTTCCGTGTTTCGAGGGAACTCTCCACGTCCACCTGGTCCCGCCACTAGTACGTTCCTGTCAGGCGGTTTATCCGAAGACAACCGTCCGTTATCGCCTTTGATGGAGAGTATTGTGACGATGCTGTTAGCCTCTTCGGAGAAACACTTATCTGCTGCTAACGGTTTGAACGCTCTCAGCGCACCGATGACGAGTTCGCGTATGACGCGACGTTTGCAGCGCGAACTCTCTCGTCGACGGGGGCTGCTGGGTAACGACGGTTATCGATGGGACTCGGCTGGGCCAAGGCTGAGCACCGCAGACACAAATCTATCTGGTGGTGATGGAACGACCGGTACTAGTATCGAGTTAGCAGGCACTAGTAGATCAGGAGGCACCAGTAGGCCACAGTCACGCGCGAAAGGGGATGATCTTAATAGCGGCGCTGCTAGTGGAACAGGAGGAGCAGGTCGTTCTTCACGTACTACAAGAACGATGAACAACATGAGTGGATCTTCTCCACGTACTGATGTTGGCTCGGGATCTCGTGCAACCAGTGCCGCACCATTACAGAGGAGCGCTGCAACTCGTGGTCGGCAGCTCAGAGGAAGTAGTCGTCCAGGCTCTACGTCCACATCGAAAGTGCATGTGGAGAACAGTTCTCACATTGCGCCAGACGTGGAGGAGGAAGTGGACTCCTTCCATATGGCAGGACCAGCTGTACCAGAACAGCAGAACTTGCTTAGTTTCCTACAAAGTCATCGAGATTTGATCTCTGCTGCTATGGTAGAACATCAGGGAAAAATGATGAAGTCGAAAAATGGAAATGTTGGGACAGCAAGAACAGCAGGAAACACATCGTGCACAACATCTCCAGGAGGGACAACTTCTACAAACAGAGCACAAGCCGGAGGTAATGCGTTGATGTCAGCAGAACAACGACTGGAGCATGAGAAACGATTAAGTGGACTGACGATACTGCGGCCCACGTCGGTTCCTGGTAGTCCGCGTTATCAACAGCCACTATTGAAGCGTAGTCGACATGATCGGTCACAGCAGAACAGTACATTCTTAGAAAGTGGCACCTCGAAAGAACTATCATCATCTTCAGCAGCTCTTGAGGGAAGCAAAGATCAAGATGATTTCCTGGCAGGAGGATCATCAACGCTGTCGTCCGGCTCTACTACAACAAATGTTGGTAGCAAGGACAACAAGGCTAAGCCTATCCCACGATTTGGTTCAAACTGGAAACCTGTGAAGAAGCCTAATAGTACTACTAAACTTACATCATCAACATCGCGGGGCGCAACTGCAATCCCTCCTGTCGTGGAAGCCGTTGAAGGAGAGAACGTGGTGAAGCAGCTTGAAGAAGTCACCGACTCAGGAGCTAATACACGTCCAGTCACAGCTGAGGTAGATGGTGGGGAGGGTGAAGATAAGGAGGATGAAAAGGCTGAAGAAGATAAGGAGAACAAAGCTTCTAGTTCTACAGATGAAATTCTACGTGAAGCGGACTCTTACTTTCGTGCGCAGGATGAGGCTAGTGCGAAGTTGAAGACGAAAAAACGACGTTTGGAACATCAGGACCTTCTACCTCTGCAGCAGCACGATGAAGATGACCCTGTTGATCTCATGAAACAGAAGGAACTCCTCGAACAAGCACCGTGGTCAAGCCTCGTCAACGCGCAAGAGCATGCTGAAGATGAAGAGCTGGAAGCCTTTGTTCGCCAGTTGCAAGTGCCGACGTCATCTTCAAGTCATGCTAAAAATTATACGAATTCATCTTCTACAACTGCAAACTACAAGAGTAGAGAACAAGGCCAAGATCAGGATGAAGACACTACTTCCAAACAGTATCAAGTCGTCCTCTACCGGATTCGCGCTGAGAAGGCAAGACAAATGGGCATACCGTTTCACTCGCAAGATGAATGGGATCGCATACGCGCTGCAGAGGAACGCGACGTCGACTTCATCCATAAATTAAGGGTCTAGAAGTTCATCACTATCCCAACTACATGTCGACTAAGTACTTATGCACCTGAGTGGAGTCCTCGTCCTTGAGTTAATTAGAAGGGGAAGCTAAGGGGCAAAGAGGACAAGAACCTCCCACTCCCGATGTTGTTGATACTGGTAGTTCAAGTACCTACAATAATTCTATGAAAGTCTACGATGTTGTTGTTGATCGGGATCATAGTGAAAAACTACAACCTTTAAATAAAGCAAGCGGCGAAATCGATGGTATGGCGCTACAGGATCACTTGTTGCGAAAAATAGACGCTTTGAGTAACTCTAGGAGTTTAGGTGGTCTTGCTCCGCTACCGCATCGAAGGGGAGACGAGCATCTTCATCAAGGTAGTCTTGAAATCGGGATCATTGGTCCTCAAACTAGTTTTCTGCCCGAATCTGATCGTGTCCAGATGCTAGAACGGATTCAGCGTGAACATGCAAGTACTACGCAAGCTAGTATGGAACGAGCAGGAGGGTTGGAGGACGAGGGTGGGAGTTCTACTTCTGCTGACGGAGAAGTTCTCGCACCGTCTGGTGCAGATAGAAGTCGTGAGCAAGTTGTAGTCGTGGGAGACAGAGACAGTAGTTCGAGTTCGTTCCCTTCTCCATCTTCACGAAGCAACGTTTTAAGCCGACAAAACATCAAGTCTGCTGGAAATGGGCCGACTTCTATCCTAGATCATGGCGCAGAATGGGTGCCAGGCTTCGTTACAGGGTTGAATAATAGCACTCGTAAACCAGAAAATCAAACTTCTCGTCACGACAAAAATGATCCTCGTTCCTTACTGGCGAGTGCACCTGCGTCGCATGATCACCACCAGAGAGATTTGCGGACCACGTGGTCTGGTTCTTTAGGCCATGCCTCTGTCATCGGAGACACGAGTCAGACCCTAACCGGTGCCGTAAACGATGGACATTTTCTAGTCATGGATCATGGGCATGGGAACAGAGCTGTACCTGGAGCGAAGCCAACAGCATTTCAACGGCAAGGAAAGTTGCAGGGTACTGGAGGAAAGACGAAACTTCTGTATAAAAACCGCGACAATTACACGAGGATGTCGAATACAATCAGTTTTGTAGAAGATAACGGGGAGAATCATGAAGATGAACAGGGAAAAATGGCGAAGAACAATACAACAGCGCCAGGCACCTTCATTCAACATAATTCCGACAGGGACAAGCGTAGTACTAGCAATCGTTTTGGCACCAACGCAGGTTTTCGCTCGATCACAGTTGGTGCTTCAGACCGCTCTTTCCGCATCGATGCAGCAGATGTCAGGAAATACCTCATCGATCGTAGTGGTGACGGTGTTGAGAACAACGAGGATGGGGAGGATCGTGCTACAGGTGGTGCTCCTGATCAAGGTCGTGAAGGGCAAGAGTATGCTGAAGGAGGCGAAGATGTCAACAAGATGAACACGACTTTTTTGAGAACGTCTGGTGCTGCTCAGTCTCAGACTAGCAGTTCTTCAGCTGGAGGCATGTGGCAGACGATGACGACGTTGGATGGCGGCGCTTCACAACTATCCAACACTAGTACCAGCTCTAAAAAGATGTTGTCCATGTCTTTCGAAGACAAAATCATTTCCAACCGCACAGGTTGGAAGTCGACTTTTTCCATGGCTTCCCTACAACGTCAGCGCGAGCTCTTGGGAGCTCGCGGCAGTACACCAGCTTCTCGAGGTGGACAGCATTCGCGGTCATTAGAACTTCCACGTGGAGCCTCGTCCAAATCATCACCACAAAGATGGAGTCGCCGCTCCAGACGAAACTTCTTGCTCAATTGTCAGAAGAAAGCGCTTGATGTCGAAATACAAAAAGCTGCAGATATGAAGCCACCAACACCATCTAACAAGAATAAGGAACCTAAGAAGAGTGCTGGCAGTGAGCCTTTTCCTCTAGAACAAGATCAACCTCCTCTACATCAGGATCCTAGCCAGTCGCTCTCCATTCAAGAAGACTCAACTGTGACCTTCGACGAAAGCCGGTTTTCGGCAAGTCTTGACGATGTCGGGGGTGTGTCGAGATCTCGCATACTAGTAGGAACGGAAGACGCTGACGAGCAGGAGGAGGATAGCGAGAATGAAGGAGTACCACGACGAGCAGAAGTAGATGTTCACCAACATAGCACTAGTACTCACCAACAACAACAAGGAGAAAACGAAAACCAACTGCCACCTCTCGTCGGGTCATCTTCTAGTTCACGGACTACACGAGGAGGAAATGTCAATTCGTTGAGCTCTTTGCTAGCCAAAAAGAATGCAGCTTCTAACGATAGTCGGAGTTCGAGTGCGGCCACCGGTTTGGGTTCAGGCACTGCTCTCCATTCGAAGGAATACAGCGGCCAGCGTGCTTCTGACTTAGAAGCTTCATCTGCTTCGTCGTCGAGTAGGACAGCGTCAGCTTCAGCTTCAGGCGTTTCATCCTCGGAAGAAGCTGCTAACGGCGAGCCCGGTTTCGTAACTGCAACTAATTGGACCAAGAAAGTTGGAACCAAGAAGATCCTCAAAAAAGCCGCAGCGACCTCTTCTAGCAATAAAGAAAAGGTAGATAAGCAAGCTAACACGAGGACTACGAAGGACGGCGGTTCTTCAACTTCGTCAGCTTCAGCAGCTTCTTCTTCTAGTGGGGTTGGAGGTGATAAAAAGATAGGAGAACAACAAGCGTCTGCTGGAACAAATCCTAGTACTAGTGGAACAGGCACTGGCACTCTTCGAAAAGGTAAAGCAAGTAAAGGGTTGCTACTTCTGGGCAGTACTTCTTCCGCACCGGCAAATCATGGAGATTCCTCGTTTGAAGATTTGTGTGTTGATGGAAGGCTGGGAACGGCAAGTAGCAGCACTTTTTCATCTGGCGCAGAAAAACGGTCTAGTGCTAGCACTTCATCGAAAAAAGGATCAGCGAACAACTCTTCTGCAGCGATTGTCGGTAAATTGTCGACTTTGGAAGGAACTAATACTAGTGCAACTGAACAAGCTGCTGTCGTTGTGCCTCCTGTCGCAGAAGAAGAGCAACAAGATGATCCTAGTACACCTCTCGAACAACAAGAACAAGCTGGTGGGGGCACTTTGTCTTCCTCGGTGCGAACAACTTCACTCTATAGTGGTCGTGGTTCCATTAACACCGCACCAGGCACTGCGTCCACCGCAACAGTACCTGCAGGATCACGGAGTGGAACTGCGGCAACTGCCTTCATTTCACTAGAACCGGAAGTGAACAACCTGATTACCAGTACTGAAGATCTTCATAAGCTTCAACGCGACCAGTCTCCATTAGACTCTCCGCGAACTCGTAGCGCATCACCTCTAACTTATACTTACGCGCGTGTCGGGAGCACTTTATCAACTAATTCGCCCTTTAAAAAGCTCTTTGCATCTGCGGGCTACAAAAAGTACACTAGTCTCGACCAGGGTTCCGATGAGCAGCATGGAGATGCACTGGTAGTTGGGGAACAAGCACGAGCGCGACCACGAGGACTGCAGAAAAACTACATCAATGCAGCACATCACCAAGGCTCGACAATGTTGAGTCCATCAGGAAACATCAACAACAATAAGAGTATGAATCAAAACGTGTTGAAAGACCTTCTTTCCCCCGCAGGAGCGCAAAAGCGCACATCGCGGCGACCAGGTGGCGCTACTGGCACAGCCGCTTCGGCACTCCTACCAAGAGTTTTTAGTCAAGTCGGCACGATGATACTCTCCACATCTTCTGCTACAACAGCTGCTGCGAGCGAACAAGAGGCACATCAACAGAGCAGTAAGACTTATTCGAGTCCAATCAAGGGACGAGCTGCAGCTCATCAACATCTTCATCAGAGTAGTGAAAAAAATGATCCTTCAACCCCTGCTATCTATGCAACTCCTGCGAGTACGGGAAAGAATCAAGCAGACAACTTGTTCTCTCATCTCGATAAGGAGAAGAACCTTGCGAAGTTCAACAAGAAGAATGATGTGCTACTGCAGGGACAACTGATAACGACTCCAAGTATACTGTTAGACCAGTCAGCGGCGTCTCCTAGTATGGATGCACTGGGTAATTCTGGAGCGTCTATCTCTCTTTTATCTGCCGCTACGCCAACACCCTCTAGTACACGGAAATTGAATACGTGCAGTGGCTGGTTTTCTTCGCAGAAAACAGCTAATAGCACTACAAAGGGTGGAGGTCATAGAAGTTCTGCTTCTGGTGGTAATGCTAATGTTGGTATGAATGGTATGATGAACAACTACAACTACAACTCGACCACTAGCAGTTTATCTGTGTTGCACGACCACCATCAGCGGCCACCACCTCTTGACGATTTTGAGGCTTACCAAGTCTCATTACGACCAAACTTCGCAGGCTGGTCACCAGGCAAGTCCAAAGTCTTGCAGAGTGAGGTGGATGGAGGAAGCACTGCTTCAAAATGGAAAGTACTCAGAGAAAGTATGAGACCAGCAAGCACTGCTTCAATCTCTGTCCTGGATGATGGGGACGAAGATGGTTGCGAGAAGGAAGAAGACAGGAAATACAAGAAGCACAACAAGTCAGCATCCCATATTTCATCTCATGGACGACGGAGGAATGGCAGTAGGGTAGGTTCTCCGTTTCCTTCGTCTAGGTCCAGTGCAACGAAAATCAATACAGTACCCTCTAGGGAGAAGGATCCTAGAAGACAGCGTCATAGAATGCCTGGTGGACGAGGTGGTAGCGGCGCTGTAGGAGAAAGTCCAAAATCTTCTCTCAGTCCAAGATCCGGATCCCGCCAATCTTCGATCAGGGGAGCAGGAATTCCTTCGGCGAGTCCTACTGGTGGGGAGTTAGATGCTGCCTTGATGCAAGGACTTGATGCGCGGTTTAAAGGTGCTGGTAGAAGTAGGCCTGCGAATACTAATGAACAAGAAGAGGCGAACTTAGAAAAACTGTTTCTTTCGAAGTTGACAAAACTCCAGGGCGCACTGATCGGCGGAAGTAGTCCGAAGATGAACAAGTCGAAGAAGTAGAAGATGTAGGGACTTACTTCTATTTGTATTCACCAAAAGAACATAAGATATAAATCAATAATATGTAAATAAGCAGCTAGCCGACGACTTTATCATACACATGAAACAACTCATTCTTGTACAACATATTAGTTTCTACTCATCATAACGATTATAGAAAAGAAGCTTTCAATATAACACGATAACAGACATCAAGAAATCTACAACACGATAACGGACTCAGCTCATACGTACACGATTTAACAGAGGACTCACAAATGCCTATACATAGTAGTGCCTTGTAGCTTAGCAGCAGTAAGTATTAACTATTAAGAAGAACTACAAGTAATCTCTCTATACTCTAGGTTTATCCCTTCAAACAGTACAACTACAAGTAAGTTTATTATAAAGAAGAACAGAGTTTACTTATATATAATTTAGAAGTCCATGATCGGAAAACGAAAAGTAGTTCATCTAGTAGTGGTACTAGTTCTTGCAAAGAAATAAATACGACAGCAGTGCTGCCATCAATAGAAAGTAGTAAGTAGAAAGTAATTGGCTCATTATCTTTTCTAAGAAATGACAGAAGAAGAAATTCACATCGATCCAGCACTAATTAGTACGACTAATCATAAACATAAACAAAGCTGACATCTTCATGAGTAAAGCAACCGGTTAGTTTTCACCTCTATCCTTAGGCTTAGCCCTTCAAGCAGTGCGTTCGTATACTAAAGCGAAACTGCATAAAAACTACTACGATCTTATTTTACTGCATAGTCAAGAATATCAAATAGCCCAATATGTTGCAAGAGCATCGTGATTATCTTCAACAACGTAAATCTAAGCAGTTATATATAAGACACGAAAAGATTTCAAGTTGTAGGCATGTAAGTGACTGTATCTCTAGATGACTATACTTCTGTGTTGGTGGGTTGTATTCATGTTTGCATCCTAGTAGGCTGTTGAACAAAAATATTAATATCTATGGTACTAACGAGACTGAAAAGCGCGTTGAATCTCATGCTGAAGAACGAGTCAGAAGAAATCGTTCAGAAATAGAAGATTCGACACGGCATAAATCTTTGGCACCTCATATTTTGGATTTGCTTTCAGGCAATCTCCTTGTTCCACCTCATCAAGCACGAATGCAGCCTAGACGGGGATAGAGGCTGAGTATGCCCGTAAAACTGTGGATTGCGGATCAAATCCAAAACGAAAGGAGTCAGTGCCCAGTGGCGGCTGGAGTGGAGATTCTGTCCTGAAAGAAATGTCGGCTCAAAGAGGAAAAAGAAAAATAGTGAACACAAACAATCAACCTCGCTCTGAACCTGAAATCTGCGGCAGTCTCCTGAGAGGCGTGGCATGCCTCTGCAAATCAATAGAGATCGTGAGATACTTGCCGGAGAAAAAAAATCATTCATGCTAACAATTATCTAGATCTACTACATTTAAGGCAGATTTTTCGGTCGAGAAAACGGCTCATATGAGTCTCTGTTGAGTGCTGAAAGTACTGGCATATGCACAGAAAATCCTAATCTGTTGAAGAGACAAGCATACTGTCTGTCTAGCCAGCAAAGGCTCGAAGATTCCAAGATCAAGAGGGGCATTAGAACGAAGGTACAGGGAGACTCTTGTCGAATACATCACGTCTTCTATCAAACAAGCAGGTCAAACTCCATTTGATACTCATACTGCCCGTTTACTTATAAGTAAGTACTTGTTTTTGGTTTGTTTCATAGTTAGTGGTCCTTGCTCTTGGTAGTTGTGCTTGGTTGATGTTTCTTTCATCAACATTATAGGTAGTGAATCACTTCTAGTCTCTTAACGAAGCAACAAGCTACTTGTTACATCACCATCAAAAACACGTTGACGCCCTAGAACTCCTTCTTGCTTCTGTTCCACGACGAAGCCTAGCACTACCTAGCACATTTTCTTGATCCCATTTTTTCTTGGTTATCATCGTTAGTTCTTCTTCTTGTTATCTCTCGTTTTTCATCACAGCACATCTATCATCTAAAGTTCAGAAAAAATGCCTCGTGACCAGGAAACTATGGCATCCAGGTGCTGGGTGAACCCCTACCTGGATACTCCTTCTCCCGACTTGCCTATGCTTACTGACGACCAACTTGAAGATGCGGTGAACAATTACGCACGTACCCTCACTTCCCGTCTCTGTGAAGCGAATGGATCATTAAGGCTCAATACTCACTTCATTTGATGTTTACATTTCTCCCTATATATTTTATATAGTATAGCTTCTTGATTGGCTTTCGCCTTTTGGTGAAGGTTTAGGCCCAGCGGCGCTCAAAGCACTAAGTAAGCCAAGCGGTTAGTTTTCACCTCGACAATATTAGACTTATCCCGTGCAACAATATATAGTATAACTCCTAATCATTCTTGTCTCAAGATTGGAGTGAACTGTTTTGAACTCGTCTAAGAGGATCATCGATCTACAGTGGGGGTCCGGGAGTAGGGTTGGCCTTGTTCTGGGCGACGGGGGACCTGAAAAGCGCGCAGTATTTCTTTACGAACGAGCGAGGAAGCAGCTGGGCAGATGACGAGGACAAAAGGAAAGACGCCCGCCCTGTTGCAGTAGGTGGAGGGCAAGCGACGGCATTGTTTTACTTATGAAGATAGTTGTGAGGATCAATCTATCACACGAATGCAACATGCAACATGTGTGTTCCTTCTCTCATCATGGTCAACATCTTACCCTCTATCTTCTAACCCTCACCACTGTGATCTTGCACTGGATTTACATGCATCACAAGAGTAACCCTCGCAGGCTGCGCAGAAGTGCAGGGGATCACGGAGGACGGGGTAGTCCGAGTCATTCTGGCAACTCGAAGAGTAAGAAGGAGAAGAAGTCTAGTAAAAATAGCATAGGAGGTCAGACTGAAGACGATGAGCTTTCACCTCCTGGTGTCGCAGGAGTAGAGAAAAAACGGAAATCGTCCAGACGAACATCAAGGAAGGATGTTGAAGAAAATAATGTGAATTTTTCTGGAGATGAAGCTGGTAGAAGTGGTGCGGAAGAAGACGGCAAGTTGTGCCGACATCATGAAGGAAATAATGGCAGCACAAGAGATAGGGATAGCGGCAGGGGTAGTGGCTCTCTATTAGCAGCATTGAACAAACAAAGTCAAAGCAGGGGCAATAAAGGTGGTGGCAATAAAGACATGGCCAAGTCTATTAACAAAAAAAGTAAGCAGGACAACAACGATGACGTGATGGAGGGGCTCAAAAACATGCTTCATGGAAAGAAAGCTAAACTTCTACCAGGTGGAGCATCATCTACTTCCACCTCGCGACAACAACAAGAGGTGGATGACCAACATAGAGGAACTGGAACTACATCCTCAAACATAAATGACCCAAATAGAAGTAGGTCGACATTTTCTGGCGATGGTGGTGCTTTAGTTGTGCCACTAAACCTAAACGGTGTGGTTTCCTACTCACAGCAAGAGCAGTCCTTACAACAAGAACAACAAGATCGCCGTCAGACTGTGAATTTCGCAGAGAAAAGCTTTGACACGTTCATGAGCTGTGAAGCAGTCCTGACCGATGCACTACGGCGTCTTCTGGTGATCAACACCAGCAAATGCAAGTCTGACGAATGGTTATACGGAAGAGCAGGACTTTTGTTAAGACTGTTATCAATTGTTATCATCTATCATCAATTGTATGAGTACTAGTAGAACAAGTTGTTGTTGTGCCGGCACTACAGCAAGCATTACAATTTAGTGCTCATGTTGTAACTACAGTAGTTGTAGTAAGTAGTCGTGTTGTAAAAAAATATGAACTACTTGTTGATGTACTACTAGCTCATGGTGCAATGACTAGCGCGAACCTGCTTTTTCCAACTACAAGCATCCAACTTACTACGTGGTCTATGAAGGACCTAACTATGAGCCTTCTCGTCCACCTCTTCTGTTCGTCTTTTCAATCTCTAATTTTCTTTGCCCTAGTCTATATCAGACGTCAGTTTGATGACTTGGGGCCATGGTATACCAAAAGACTGGAACAAGAACTGCGCAACGAGGTGAACACGAGGATCCGAGCAGTTGTCGAGGAAATCTACCATCAAGGATTGCAGTATTTTTTTACTGTTTTCTGATTAAGTAATCACCGTCTACTTTTACAACTCTACTTTCTTTCATGATCTTTGAAGCAGAAGTTCGATTCATCTTACTTCCTCATCTGCGATAGATAAGGATAACTATTACTATTTATTCTACCACTTCTGACTCGCTCCGACTCGCTCCACGTCCACCAGTTACGCCGAACGCTGCGTTGATGACGGTACCGGTTTTGTTGGTGACCTCCCTCGCCTCTGCTACGAGTGGCACGGGAAGCGGTATCTTGGCGGGGCCCATGGCTTAGCGGGAATCTACTGCATAATGTTACAGTTAAGGGTTTAGGGTGTTCCTCTTCCTGTTGCCGTTTTGTAGTTTTGTCTCTCTCTCCTAAGGGACGAGAAAAGCATAAAAACAAACGGGAAACAGAAACACCAACGGCCTACCTCTAATATAGGCAAAGGAATTCTTGACCGTTGCGGAGTTGCGGCACATCCGTGAATCCATAGATTGGCTACGTGCTTTTGGCTGCGATCAGGGTACGGGGAACTATACGAGTAGAATTGGCTCAATGCAGTCGCACTTAGTCCAGTTCTGCCACGGAGCACCTGGATTTATCCCTCTATTCCTCGAAGCTAGCGTTACTTTTGTTAAGGCTCAAAATATCTCATTTCTAAGAGTCATTTCTCTTAGTTTCCTTCTTAGGAAGCTGAGAAATAAATGAACCCAAGAAGTGAATTGCTTTGAGCTCTAACTTTGGCGAAAAACGGACCATTACAGTGGAACGAGTACAGCACAAGGCTGGCCATCCATCGCCGGATGAAATGAGGGCCATGGAAGGCACTGCACTGATTAAGACTACAATAAATGCATCTTCCCAAGCATCTTGATGATCCCGTTTCTCAAGGGAAAACGTGCACCAAGACCAAGATGCTCTTGCAGATGGATTTATGTTAGGTCTAAATTGAACGAATACGGCAACGTCATGGGAGGCACAGAACTTCTGGTGAGGACCAACAACCAGATCCAGAACGAAGAAGATAGTAAATTAAGGCCCGATCATACAGTACAAAAATTGTCGATTCCTTTGCCTTTCCAAGGTTTGTTGAGAGGAAGTAAGGATCTTGATGGTCTCCTTCCGGGTCTCAATCCTTGTTTCCAAGGTTCATTTTCTTTTGTAGAAGTTTCCTTCTTTTAAGATTCATAGATTCATCTTCTGAAGAAATAGAGGCAAGACATGGATTCTTTTGCGTTCTTCTAAGTAGAGATACTGGAGCTGGTCGTGGTGGTGACCAACAGCCAAGCATTGTGAATCCGAGTATTCTGTTGCCGCCTGTAGAAGCAGAAGATGGTGGCTCCACCGCTTCTAGTCCGCAAATTTAAGGCTCAGCCACTACTAGTACTTAGGTGGACTTTGTTAAAGTTGATCTTCTAGTGCTAGGAAGGACTAGGTCTAGACCATTGTTGACTCATGAATCTTACTTTCATTCAGGGACAAAGCGACGAGGAGCATTTCTTAATACTCTGACTCTGACTCCTCTATCTTTCTTGGGTGCACAGGAGAGCGACGAGCATCGTTCTTGCTGAGAATAAATATTCTACCTGTCGTCCTACGCAAAGGCTGTTACGGCATTGAAATTCAACTAGTCCTTCTAAGAACTGGAGTCAGCAGGACCCTCCAGCCCATTGCGTGGTGTGAGCAGAGGCGGCGCAAGAGCACTGAACCGAGCTGGGCCGCTGTTTTCATCTTCAAAGGCTGCTGCGCCTGTAGATTTAAGACTTGTTCGTTCATCTCCTAAAATCACTTGACAAGGTATTGTTTATCACTACGTGCTCCTTTGTTTTGAGTTGTTGTGCTCAAAGTTACCACAAATAGAGCAAACTTACATTGAAATTTCGAAAAAATTCCATCTTGTTACATACTACAACCTAACTGGGCAGATGCACATACTTTGGACAACTAGGACAACTCGTCTCTATATCCTACGTATAACTACAACTTACTTTTCATCTAATGAAAGCTCCCGGCTTGGTCTTGGGGTAAATCCAAATACTTAAATGCTTTTCTGGAAGCAGGAGATCTGTGCGTGCTTCAGTAAGAATCTCCTTTCGTTCGTTTCCAAGATGGATTTTTGATACTCTAATTCTTCTATTTCATATCCTGCTTCAGGAGTAAGAATCTCAATATCCGCTCAGTTTCCTTTCGCTCAGTTTCCTTTCGTTCGCTTCCATAATTTATCTAATAAAAGCTTCCGAGGACTTGGTCGCAGGTAGTCGCATTCACCAGATCGATCCTCAGCGGGAGTATTATAGAGAAGCACTGCGATTAGGCGAAGTCTTGTGGAAAAACGGTGTCCTGAAAAAAAACGCAAGTTTGTGCCATGGTCTCAGCGGTAATGTTAAGGCTTAGTCTTAGTTCTTACAGAAGATAGAGATATACAGAAGGAGAAGATACAGTTGTAGTTACAGAAGATAGAGTAATTCGCCGAATAGTGTGGCTTTGTACGGTTTCCAGAGAGAAAGAGAGGAGAAAAGATGAAGAAGAAAAAGGAAAACTGACACTCGCTTCGCGAGAAGATACAGTAACTCAAATTCTTGTTTCATCTTAAAAACAAGCTGAAGCATCTTCCATTGACTCCCTGTCGTCAAAAGAGAAAACGGAAACTCGTCCGAGATGCTACTTTTCAAATTCAAGATGAGTTTGAATGTACAGTTCACAAGGTCTAATAATGGCTTCTGCTTTTTAGCGTTATACAGAGCTACTTCGGACGACATGTGGCTACGGAGAGCCCACGTTTTCGCGAGACTGATCCAAGAAAAGCACGCAGCGAATGAATGGGAGCATCCGCCGGATAGACCCTATATTAAGGCTAGAAGAAATCCATCTCAGCCAGCGAAGTCTTCGCTCGTCTGTTTTCTCAGAGGAAACGGTCACTCCAAGAGGTGGCTCCTCATCTACAAGATGGATTTCTTCTCGCTCTAACTACAGCTTATTTGAAGGCATGGCAGGAGAATTGATGTTTTTTAATGCTCTAAGAGACCCAAAAAACTCAAAATTTCCTATGTATGAACTATGAATGGTGCAGCTGAGAAAAATCATTTGAGATGCAATGATTTTGATGGACTCGGATGACTGCCTTTTCTACATGTACATACATTTACATGAGTAAGTACATGTATACTAGACCACAACATACGGTTACTAGTACAGGAGTTGTGCGTCGGAAGGATGTAAAAATGATCTTCAATCTACTAGTACATGGTGTTGATCATCTTCCCGGACTTCTCCGTGTTTGGGAAGCGGGAGGCGAAGTAGATGCAACCTATTCCTGTGAGTGTTGCGGTCGTGTGGGGTAGAATTTCTATCTCCAATCGTGTGATGTATGTGTCGGACGACGTGCGTATGCTGGATGAATTTACGATGCAATCTTCTACTTACTTCCTCTGATGTGAGTGGGAGTAGGGAAAACACAAGCTTCTTCTGGTTCTGATTTGAGTTGATAGGGGAATCACTATCACAGTGAGTTTTCTTCTTTGAGAGTGAGTGGACATCAAGAATCAATCTGATACATTCAATCATCACCTGCGAGTGGAGGTATGGACTAAGCAAGTAAGCTTCTTCTATGAGAGTGGGAGTGTAGTTGGGAAAAATGTAAGTTTCTGTAGTGAGTGGAGCAGGAATAATAAAGCAAAAATGCAAGTTTTATTGAGTTAGTGAGTAGAGGTACGGAGAAATGTAAGCTTCTGTAGTGAGTCGAGATGCAGCCTCGCTCTGTGTATCTCCTTCTTTTCATATTGGCGGAAAAAAACGGCACAGATTGCAATGATCGTGCAAATCTGTGGTCTTGAGGGAGGGTCCTTCTGTCTCGGTGCCGGGACGATGTGGTGATTTTGAGTGAATCCTTCTCAGAGTTCCTTGTTTGAGAAAGTGGAAAGATTTCGGTCTTCTTCAGTTTCAGTCATCTTTACATACCGTGACTTCGTTTTCTTGTTCAACATCAGATTAACTCACCAGGCATTGCTTGTTGAGTTTGAAACTTCTTCCTTCTGGTGGAGCTGGACTTTTTTTCGACGGACTTGAACAATTTTAGGTGGTTCATCCAACGAACCTGGAGCCCTTCTACCTAGTTCTACTTACTTAGAACTAACTAGTCGTTTCCCGTGTGTTTAGCGGTCCGAGAGGAGGGAAAGGTGAACGAGGGAGAAGGAGCTGCTAGGAGCAGGAGATAAAGAGACCGTGAGCTTCAGGGCAATGCCCCCCGGCGCGTGCAGGTTTCCCCGCAGATTCTCGGAGAAAACAACCCCACGGAGCTCTTGGGTGGGCTCCAGCCTCCGGGCTCACCGTACCGCGGGCGATCTCCCCCCGGTACGCGAGCTGAGTCGGGCCCCTTTGCGGGCCCGACGTTAGACGGCCCAAACGCGGCTGGCGGCCGCGTTAGAGCCCGCTAACGTCTTCGCGACTCGGTGAAACAGTGTCACACGCCGAAACTGTGACCCGCCGAAACTCTGAGGCGGGAAGCCCAGACATGCCGAAACTCGGAGGCGCGAAACTCTGAGGCGCGAAGCCCTGACATTGCGCAACTCTGAGGGGGGAAGCCCTGGCATCCCGAAACTCTGAGGCGCGAAACTCTGAGGCGCTAAACCCTGACATTGCGCAACTCTGAGGCGGGAAACCCTGAGACGGCAAAACCCTGAGGCGCTAAACCCTGACCTGGCGCAACTCTGAGGCGGGGAACTCTGAGGCGCAAAACCCTGACATGCCGAAACTCCGAGGCGCGAAACTCTGAGGCGCGAAGCCCTGACATTGCGCAACCCTGAGGCGGGAAGCCCTGACATCCCGAAACTCTGAGGCGCGAAACTCTGAGGCGC